GACAAATAACATGAACTTAACTTGACCAAAAAACACATTTTTGGGAGATACTTCAGCCAACCTCTCTGTGGTGTCTCCTGGATAGCGCTAATAGGCTAATATAAAGTGGTAATTATTATGTGGCCGCAACTCATACGTCTCTCTCCTAAACCCGGGCCGCAACTCGTACTTGATTTAGGGATTTGGCTGCAACTCACCAACACCGTTGTGAATAAATCACAATTATCTAAATAATATTTTCGTTACAACGAAAACAAATCAACTATATAACAATACATCTCATCCCACATGTAATAATATTAATTTCTTTTTATACGCGTTATGTTTATATTGGCTAAAAACACAATCACAAACAAAATCAACTTTTGTAATTTTATATAAAAATCTGTTTACATGTAAGTCTCCACTCCTAACTATTATATACTGTAAAAAAATAAATAACAAATATAATTGACGGTAAAAAATGTTTGTTTATTTTATAAAAAAATTGGTAGTATTTAATGACAATATTTGTATGTTATAAAGTAGTTTTTTATTGTATTCGATTGCTTAGTTTTTCATTTCATATTCGGTTTAATATCGTTATGATGTGTTTATTTATAATGTATAATAATGTATAACGATGTATTTTTCCTTGTATCATTTTCTAATACTTGAGTGTATAGTGTACTTTAGTGTAGTTAAGTTGTCTCAATGCCATCGCTTCAAAATGTTTGGAAATATTTACTTTTGTGATTTAAGCTAAACGTATACGTAGCATCAAGAAGTTGCATTTTTACGTTTATTTGAAAGAACTCGTCGACACTAACATTATTTTAGCTAATAAAATTACGTTAGCGATACAGGATACTACATAATGTATCTAATCATTAATATATGCAATTCTAAGTATTATATTCGCTAGTTATGAAGAACGTCTGATACACTACGTCTAGTTAAAAATGCCTTTAACCTTTAATTACGTATCTAAGGGTGTTCTAAACACCCCCCACTGCGCTCTAATATTGAAAAATTAAAAAAAAGGCGACATATTTTTACTTACCTAGGTATGGTATGTACATTTTTATCGCATACCTAGGATTAAGGAAACGCCATCTCCTCCGTATGACAATTTTTTTGTCGTGTAATGCCTACATGTGCTATCACAAACTACACTAATAAATTGCCATTTTGCAGATTTTTCTGTTTATAAGATGACAATGTAAGTTCAAATATCTTTATCCTATTAATACATTCTTAAACTCGTATGACGTCAAAATCACATTTTGAAAAGTAAACAAAAATTATATCCAAGTGCGTCTTTCAAAACAAAATAATAATCAGCAATTATTTCGAGCAAATTGTACGTATTTAATGCGCCGCGTAAGCTGCTGGAATATTATTTTGTAGTTTTTTTTTATCGTATAATTTTTTATTTGCCGGTGATCTGGTGGATCTATTTACAACAATGGTGGCCTAATCGCAGGAAACGCGTAAATTATTATTTTTATTCTTGTAAATTCGTGTTGACGGGGAATGGTTTTGATAAAATTGAGCTTGTCCGTTTGCTACACGTATACTCATTACATTTACATACATATAAAAGTATAGTACGGGTATAAATATATATGGCTTATAATTGATCACAAAGTACCGCTGTTAACATGCAAATTGCAGAAAATAACGTTTTCATATAATTATTTTTTCACCGATCCGTTTAGGCGTCCGTAATATAATATTCAGGGACAATTTCATTATGCTTTTTTTTAAAGGCATATATCTTTTTAAGTCGTACGAAATTTAGATTAAATCCATATTGTTCTGTGCATGTTGAATAATCGTAATGAATAATGATAATTTAACTAAAAAGTTAAAAATAAAGTTGAAAATTTAAAAGAAGCAGTTATTCATAGTTAGATGATTCTTTCATTAGCTTTTAAATTTAACTAAACATAATAATTTATTTGGTAATTGTCACTATAAGCTATCTTTTGTATTATGTTGTTTACAAAATATTTACTGCTATTGTACATACTACGTTGATTGCTTCACTATTGTTGTTTATTTGTGCTAAATGCTAATACTTGAATAATTTTGTAATAAATAAAGAATTATTTTTAAATATTGTCGAAATAAGCCTAAAATTATAAATGCATGTTATTTTCCTTTGGTGAAATTGTTGTTTTAAAAAAATAACCGGAAGGAATTTTTGGATATTTGATTGCATAACGTTGGTATCAAGATTTAAATTCTTAACCTTAATGTATTCAAACGACTAGAAACCTAAAACAATTTTGTAAATTGTAATTTATTTTTGGATTTATTTGTTATATGCCAAGAAATGTCTTTACTGCATAAATAATTTCAACGATTATCATGTTTTGTTAGTTCATCAAAATTTATTTTTTACAATAGACTGTTGAGTATATTATATTGTGAAGAATCGTAGTTAATAATTAGATCAATAAAATCAATAGAAATGAAGACTACTTAGGAGTAAGACGTTTATATTAAGAAAATATCGATTCATTCAACTTAATGACACTATTGACAATTTTATTTTGTTTTCAAACTTTTCAGTTCATCCGCCCATAGAAGTCGGTGTAGCATATCTTACAGTGTTATTTCTTTTATTATTTTTATTAACCTATATTGTGACTCGTTGGTTATTAAACAATAATTTGTTGTTACTAAATATATTCAATAAGATTAAAATTATTGACAATTAAAACAGTACGAAACTATATAATATTGATCAGTACCAATATCAGAATATTAATATACCAACAATAAGTAAAAACAATTATACTATACTAAATGCAACATCCAACGCTCAGATGGAAAGAGAGTATGTCTGTGACCATTAATAACGTGGATTGCAGTTAGGAAAAGCGTAAATACTTATTTTATTGTATTGGTGTCCTTTTTTGTGGATATTTGTATAGATGTTTCTAATCTGGATTATTAAACAATTAAACCTAATAATTATTATAATAACAAGATCAGAAGTTATCGTGACGCAATTGACTTAATGAATCCGAGGCGACAGAAAGTAAATTTCTATAAAAAATAATTCTTTAAATTATATTGTTTGTTTTATAATATAATTTATAACTTCTTTTAAGGGTCTATATAGTTAGTTTCTACAAATTCGACTTTCCGTTGTTCGGTTTGATTCTCGTGTTCGATAAATAGTTATACTTCAACTTGTCCGTGAAGCTAAAATTGTATTTTGTATTATTTTATTAATCACAAGCTGTCCCGCCCCGCGTTGCCTGGGATTTAGTTTGCCAGGGCTGTGTAAAATAATTACAAATAAGATAAATAAAAGTCAGTATTCCAGGCTATATTATAAAACTTTAGCATACCCTGTCTCGGCTTTTTTTTTTAATCTACATACATGTGTACATAACATTATATTGGTTATGTCCCCCTCTTACTCAAGGGTCTCAGTCCCAGGTCCATTTTCAATCGTGAAAATGTTTAATAGCGTCCCCAGAATCGTGGTACTTAGAATCGGCCTGTTTCTTTAAACATCACCTACCATTCGCTCGAGTATCGTGGTTACCATGGTTACAAACCAAGTGTTTATTTTGGGTTAGTAGCGAAAAAATATTTCTCATTTAAAGTAAAAAATTCATGTTTGATGCCACCCTTTGGGGTGGAATTTTCAAAAAGTACTATGCCAGAAACCTTCGTGGGAGTGTACTCAACAACTTCCCAAAGTTTCATGGCGATCGATGAATGCAGAATGGTGTACTAATGCAATGTTAGACACACACACATACATCATTTTTATATGTATAGATAGATTATCAATGTAGTGACAAGAATCAAAAAAAGGGTACAAGTGATAACGAATTGAAGTAAAAATGTTTGATACTATTAAATTTACCTGCGAAATATTTTTTTATTTGTTAGTTTCACCCACGTGAGCATGTTAAAATATAATTTTAATTTTGTTTTTCTGTAAAAATTTGTAAAATTGATTTGTATCAAATATTTGACGGTCTCTTTGAAATGTTGTCTGCCTGATGCACAGTTATATATAATAAACTAGATTGCTAACTTTATATACCACCAACAGAGAAGATTGAAGCAGCCACTTTCCGCCATCCTGGTGGGAATTAGAACCTTATCACGCGAGAATAATATATACGTTTATAACAATCACATGTATATATATTATTGATATAATAATATATAAAGATATTATAAAGATATTTGTATGCATTAATAACACACATAAATCCATCCCGCCAGAATGGCGGACCGTCGGCTTCAATTCTTATCGCTAGTTAGCAATCTAGTTTATTATATATATCTGTGGTCTGATGACCGTCGCCCGATAAAGACCATAAACCATGGTGTAAAAAATGCGTAGGCTTGCTGCTATCATCTCTGGCCCGTTTATCCCTTCATTCAACCGGCGGTGAGATAATTAATAAATCTAAATCGTCAATAAAAAAACATGCGTGGAGCCATTAGCCGTGTTATTGTTATTATCCATGAAGTTCGATTGACAATCTCATTTTCATACGAGGCCCGGGGCGGCTGTCCATTTCAAGGTCTGCACACTCCACTCTCCTGTGTGTGTTTGTATGTGTGTAAAACAAATCTCGTTTCGCTGCAGCTCTTCGCCACAGCCTTTCATTCTACATTCTAATAAACCCGGCTGGTGGACGGACGCATGTTGTTTTGATACGTACAACCTATAGATCACTCGTCGGCTTAAATATATTTGATTTTCTTGTTATTATTATTATTATTATTTTTTTTTTTTATTATTTAACATTTTGTCGGACTCGTAAGGTGAGGGCAATTGACGTCTGCAGTAGTAGTAGTAGTAGTAGTAGTCGTTGTAGTCTCTAGGTGCGCGCGCGGGATGTACACAAAACTATTAGTGGGTTTAGTGTTGCATTTTTCTCTCTTTATCCATCTATCTATTTATCTATCTCTCTCTCTCTCGCCCTCTCGTACACCATTATAATCCTAGACGTTTGTGTGACCGTATTTTGCAGATGAAATCGACGTTGCCTCCAGAAAAACTCTCATCTACACGACCGGTTAGAGATAAGTTATGATACCAGTTTTATGATACCTGAAAAACACAAACGAAACCTAAGTGGGTCCGGTTTGCACTGACCAATAACACTACAATGGTGGTAGATCATAGTGGACCCAACAACAGTCCAGGTAAAAATGTTTTTTTAAAATTATTTTTATTTATACATTATTTTAAATATTTTTATTGTCTATAACGTTCGCTCGTTGTATTAATCAAACGGTGTGTTTTTTTATTTTATTTTTAATTGACGCGCAATTTACCAGTAGCATTTTTTTCCGTACCGTTTTGTCGCGGTCATACGATACATTGTATATCCGCTGTTTTGCGTTTTGTTGGTGACTAAGACTGTATAGTAGAAGTTGCTGAGATTGTGTTGTGGTTAACAATTTCCGATTGTTAACAATGAATTTTTTGGACGGTAAAATAACTCGTACGTCGCTAACAATTACGCACGTATCACCTATGTTAACAGTATTGACATTATATTAAATCGAATAAAATAATGTGCATAATGTTTGTTTGATCGGTCGTGTCGTAACAATAACGTTTTGATAATATATATTTTATTATAATATATATACCGTTGTGTGTTTATTATTTAAGCTTCTTAAATTTACAAAATATAGTATAATATCCTTTAATCGTCTAAAATCTCGAATTACAGCGGTGCCGGCTAACACAACTGTCTAGTTTTAAAAACACAACCACAGTTGTTTAAAACGCCTTTTTATTATTATTATATAAAAGAAAAAATCAACAAACAAAGTAGGCACCTTCAAACCGGGTTTTTTTTTGACACATGACGCTTATTTAATTCTTAATTTTATGTTGTGAACCATTCGGATACGGCGTGAGATCTTTTAACTCGGTCGGTTCATAATCGAGAATAAACAAATCGCGCGATTGTACGTTTTTATTAATAGGTGCATAGAGTAAAATACAATGGTATTGTATTGGTGGAGGCTATCTCTCTCACTCTCTCATATTAATATAAGATATTATTGTTGTGTCTAAGAGAGCGTTCGTAGTTGGTCCGCGTTTGTTCACGGAGAATATGTTATCAAAATAATTGTAAATAATAGTTCTCGTGAGATTTTTTTGGCAAGCTACAACGACATCGATTAGTTTTGTTAAATAAACAACGTTAAACAAATAGTTAACTTTCGCCTTCAATAGTTACCGGTTCAGCTTAGAACTTTTTCAGCTAATTTATAGTAAACAAATATGTACGTATACATATTATATAGAGATCAACGGGGATATTAAATTCTTGTTGGTCTTGTATTTTTGTCAATTCGCCATTTCGCCTTGTGTGTGTATACCTACTACTCGTATACGACATGAACTTTGCCCAACAATGCTCGCTCCGAGTAGTGTACAGTATATAAATATAAATCACCGGCAGCAGAAAGCGTTAAATGTGTTTTGCATGTGTGTAAGTGTATGTATGTGATGATGTCACCGGCGATATTGCCTCCACTACACACGGTTGTTGATGAATTCGGCCTTTGAATTCGACGACGGCACGCCGGAAAGTGATTCCCGTGTGTATACTATGACTATTATACACACATCTACAACGGTCGCGTATAAGTCATTCCCTCATGTGTGTGCTGTAAACCTTTGTACGTTTACGAGGTACCTATTGAAACGTATCATTGTTTTGTCTCCATATTGATTCTGCTAATTATATTTCACGTGTAAATCGCTGTAAGACCAGTACTTGTTATATAATATAGCGCCTAGCTGACGGTTTTAAGCGAAAAAAAAAATACGTTTACCTAACTAAATACTAAAACGCATTTTCCTCGGACCGACGGCAGTGATGCCGTTTACGAGTTATAGTTAGACTTTTAAGTAGATAAATAATAGTACTAAATAAAACGACTACTGCGACTCGACAATCGTGTGACTAACCTTGCATTATACTGTTACACACATAATTACGATTGGAATTATTCCATTAAAAAGTAAACAGCAAACACTTAGCGTTATGGTTTATAGGTGTACCTACACATAATATTGTGTAGTCAATAGAAAATGTTCCCGACTCCATGGTTATTTTATAACTATTTTATTCGTTTATATGCGGCATTTATATATACGACGCGGTTGGCGTGTCCGTCATTTTTAAAAAAAAATTTTAGATCATAAAAATTCTACCAGTACGCTACTGAAACGTAGTAGGCTAAATACCCATTTGAAATAAAATAATTTGAAAAAGTTAATTGTCGCGATCGTCTTTTAAGTTTTGAACGTCATATTTTTGGTTTCATTCGCCTCGATTTTTTAAAATATATCATTATTATTCTACTCGCAAAGAAAAGGTAATGGAGCACAGTGGTGTATTTGGAGAAGTTATTTTTTGTAAATGAGAACTTTCCAAGGTCATATTAAATTTTAAAGCGTTTAATCACAACAAAAAAATATTTCCGTTGAAAAATCTATAATTAACGTTAAAATAAAGTAGCTATAATAACAGAATAATTTTTTTTAGAAACAACACATTGACCACCTACCAAACCCAGTAGCCTTAATTTTGCTGACCGTTTTTTATTTGTAGACAACGTAGTAAATCACATTTTCATTAGGCAACGTTTTTTACTTGTAATCCCACAAATGAAGCGGTGAGAGCTAAAATAGCATATACAATTTTACTTGAGATAAAATTCTAGTCAGCAGAATAATAAAATGTTTTCATAATGTTATCGCGAATATTTTTAACATTTTTAAATATTTTATAATATTATTTTAGCCAGCAATTTAAAATCCTACGAATATTATTTACAAAATGTTATTCAAATATCTAGAAATAGACATAAGTTTAATCATTTTCAATATTTTAATAATATAATTACAAAATATTAATTACAAGAAACATTGGCGTTTTTCACTACTTTCTTAAACATTTTCTTAAATAAGGCGATAGAAAATAATAAAACAAACACAGATAGAAAAAGTGTTTATTGACGAAGTATAATTGTGATCATCCATGGGAAAGGTACCCTTCCCGAAGCAAATTGTTCAGTAGAGCCAAAACTAACTTTGTACTAACTAGGTAACTTACTAGGGAGTTCCAACTTAAAAACTTCATAACTTTTGAACAGATCGAGATATCATTGTGATCAAGACACAGACTTTAACAAAATTCAAAAATCCTGATTTTGAAAAATAAAAGATAAGATACCTTTTACTATGGACGGTCACAATTTATAGTTAAAGGCTCATTTTTGTAAAGATTATTTATAATTATAAATATTGCGGAATATTCACAATATTCATGTACTACATTTTTAGACGTTGCACTAAATATTACCATTCAAATTATGTTTTTTGGAAATCCTCATTAAGTATTCGTAAAATGACGATTGTAAAAAATGGCATTGAAAATGTAATATGCCATTGGGTATATTACGGCCCACTAGCTTTTAATCTAAATTTTCATTTTTTTGAATACTACAAAACTAAAGTGCTCCAAAAAATAATGTAATTGCATTATTATAAGTAAAACCATATGAGTTCCCATTGTAGAACATAATTTAAACTCTAATGCATAATAATGCTGTTTATTTTTTATGCAGAACATGTATTTATTGTGTTTTTTATCCGTTACAGATATAAAATTTAACAATGGCAGAGTAAAGAATCAAGAATCCATTGACCTTAAAACTAAAGGTATTTAAAATTTCATTTGAGTAGTGAATACTTAATTGGTTGTTAGAGTATATGAGGCATCTTGTTTCAAAACCATCCCTAAGACATTTTGACAACGTGTTTGTTTTTTAAGTGACCATAATGTATTACATGTTATGTAAAACTGTTATTTGAATATCAAATAAAGAATATAACTAATTCTAGCTGTGTTTTTTTGAAAATTTTGGTTGGTTCTATCTAAAGAAACTATTTGTTGTTTTGTGAAAATTTTCAAAAATTGTATAGCTGGTTTTGAAACTAGGCGCCTCATATGTAGGTAATGATATTAAACTATATGATTTGTTCCTATAGGCGGAACGATAGACCAAATCGATAAAAAATTGGATGCTATTGAAAATGGTTCATTCCAAAGCAAAGAAGTTGCAGACTTCGAGCATGCAATTGAACTTACTGGTAATTCGACATTACTTTACGACTTAACATTATTAAAATATTCGTATTTTTAGGCTATGGAAAATTTCATTATTTGCTTTTGGTCGTGTGTGGTTTTGTCAGCACCAGTGAAGAAATGGACGTCATATGCATGTCATTTATTTTGCCGTCCGCACAGTGTGACCTTCAGCTGAACACGTCTTCCAAAGGATGGCTAAATTCGATTATTTTTATAGGTTTGCATAAAAAATTGACATAATCTAATGAAACACAATAAGACTGGTAAAAATTATTAAAAAAATAATTCGTATTAGGTATGATGGCTGGAGCCTACATATGGGGCTCCCTAGCAGATGCACTGGGCCGTCGTAAAGTCCTAATTGTCATTAGTTTTATGAATGCCTTGTGCATAGTGGCGTCCACATTTGCCCAGTCATATGGCGTCTTTATGTTCTTTAGATTTTTAAACGGAGCGGCGTAAGTATTTTATGCATTTCTGATCTGACATGCTAATTTTCGCCATGTCGTTTAACTTGTGCACGACAGGTTGGGAGGTAGTGGTCCAGTTATATGGTCATATTTTGCCGAATTTCAACCAAAGTACAAACGTGGCTCCATGTTGAGTTCAATGGCAGCATTTTGGACACTTGGCAATTTATTTGTTGCTAGTAAGCCAATTGACACTACTGTTAAGATTATTTTGCTTAGACCTAATGTGATTTGTAATATCTAGGTTTGGCTTGGATAATTATACCGCAAGACATTGGAATAAGATCTCCAATGTTTTTGTACAATTCTTGGAGAATATTTTTGGCTATTTGTTCCATTCCGAGTGTGCTTGTTGCTGTGTTTCTATTATTCTTGCCGGAGAGTCCAAAATTTTTACTGACACGGAACAACCATGCAGAAGCATTGGAAGTATTCAAAAAGATCTACGCCGTCAATACTGGAAATGACCCAGAAATGTACCCAGTAAGTTTTTTTTAGACTTGAGAAATTTTTATTTAGGTAAATAATGATTTTCAAATAATTTATTTCTTAAGTAAAAAACCAAAAAAAATTGTATTGTAATACATTTTTATTTGACTTTATTTCCATTCATATTTAAATAAAAAAATTGTTGAGTTCATTATTGAAATATTATTTATTATTTGAATTTGTATTTCAATAAAAATGTATTTAAATAATTCCCAGGTCTGGTTTTTTAAGCTTGCATGTTTGCCCTTAATAGTTTAATATATTTTGTGGTTTTTAGGTGAAAACTTTAATAACTAAAGGGAATAGTTTAGAGCAAGATTGTATAAAAAAGAAGTCTTTTAAAAGTATGACAAATGAAGTAGCTCAAAACACAAAGATGATATTTATGCCTCCCATATTACAGTACACCTGGATATCGATAGTAATAAACCTTAGCTTTCATATTGGGTATGTGTGCAATTTATTTTTAGCCTAATATATTTATAATAGAAATTTATTTTTTTTCAAGCTATTATGGTCTCATGATGTGGTTTCCAGAGCTATTTCATAGATTCGATGAGTTTGCCCGTGCTCATAACGGTAGCGAAAACGCACTTGTTTGTCAGGTAATAAAATGATAGTTATAAAACGAAAATCAAAATGTATTAACTTAACATGATACTCTAGGTGACAGATTTTGTCGTACAAAGCGGGTCACATTCACATGTTGAGTTGTGTTCAGATAAAATTGAAAGCGGTGTGTTTCTCGAATCATTTATTACAGTAGCAGCTGCTATACCCAGTAATATTCTTGCAGTATTGGGAATGGACACGTTGGGCAGAAAATTCTTTTTAGGTGATCATTTTCACCTGTTATGAAATAATAACCCTTCCATTTGTTGTAATTTTAATAATGTTATTAAATTTGTATATTTAAATGGGAAGTGTTCAGCACAATGGCATCTGGTATTTGTGCGGTCGGCATGTCATTTGTCACAAATAAACGGCAAAACCTAATTATATCCGCTATATTTAGTAGTGTCATTAGCTGTGGTAACGCTGCATTAGATTGTTTAATTACAGAAATTTTCCCAACAAATTTAAGGTGAGCATTTTTGAAATTTGTTTTTTTATAAGACGTAATTGTATATATTTTATGTTTTAACAAGTAAAAATCATTTAAAAAAATATATATGTTAATTATAGAGCTACAGGAATGGCCATATCTATGGTAGCTGCTCGCCTTGGAGGTATTATTGGCAACATAGTAATTGCCACGTTATTGGATCTTTATTGTCCGTTGCCTACATACATTGTAGCAGTGCTCCTTATTGGTTTGTTATATAAAAAACATTTTTTTTTATTGTTGATTGAAAGTGATGCACTGCCTAGTATCTAAGCTCTCAATCACCAACAGTAGTGTTGTCGTAGTCTCAGGAGTATACACATGTACTCAGAAAAGTGGGGCTACGCCACTGATTGTTGTTATTATCATTATTAAATACATATTTTTAATTTTCAGGAGGCGGACTGCTATGTCTTATGTTGCCAAACACTACGAGGGAACCATTGACGTGACCTTCATCAGAACACAAAATAAGAAAAATACAATTTTTTTTTAGATTAGTAGTATACTTTAGTTTGATAGACAAACATATTTTGTGCTACTTTAAATATATTTGCACTAACAATATATGCACATTTCATCAAAAAAATCTTATTTAATATTATGCATCCTTTACTCATTATTATTATGTATCATATGTATAACTTAATGCGTAAGCTTGTATAGTTATATATATTCTAGACAAAATTTTAGATATAATGCTTTTTTTTGACTGTGAATTTATTGTGAATATACCATTTATATATATATATATATATATATATATATATATATATATATATATATATATATATATTATTAATAGTTAAACACTGGTATTTGGAACCTAGTTATTGTTTATTATAATTTTTATATTATAAAGAAAGAGACTTTAAAACTAGTTACACTTCAGTTATTTTGATATTATCACGATAAATTATTTTTTGTATTATATTATTACAATTAAAATAAAAATTGATGGTGTAATTCCTAAACTTGATCTGTAGTCTGTTAGTCCCTTTAAGGTTTGTTCATAAGAAGACAAATTATTTTGATATACTTGTAACTTGTAAAATTTAATAATTTATATAAAATTAACTAAATAATAATAAAAAAATAATAGAACATATTCTATTCATGTATATATATTATATTAAACGATGTTATTATTTTGGAAATAATTCATACTAACAGTATTTTATTTTTATTGCTTTAAAATCTGATACATATCTAAGATAAATAACAAAATCATTTTTGATATACTTAGATTTTTTTTTTATTTTCTCAAAAATATTAAGGTACAATTTTTTTTTTTTAATTTTAATTTGTTATACTTTTTACCATGTATTTTATGTGTTGTTTATAAAGGGATTTTTTTAATTTAATAGTTTTTGACATTCCAGTATTATAAGTAAAATATAATAGAGATAATTAGTTTGTAATAATCTTCAATGAAATGTTTTTGTAGAATTCTGCTTTTATGTGTAATTATACAGGATTAATGAGCTATACATTTTGTTTTGTTTTTTTTTAAAATAAGAATGTTTGTATTTCAATATTGAAATGTTGATTGTATAAAAATATACTTTAAGTAAAAAAAATACCCTTATCTAGAATATTATATTCCTACTCCCAAATATCATACAGTTACACTCTTATGTCATAAGTAATTGTTTAAAGAGTTATTTTTTATGTGTATAACCACTGATTATAAATATTTATAATCAATGGTATTACTGAACACCAACCTATTTATTCGAGATAATTATATGTTATTATATTCATTTTTTCTCTGTCAAATATATTTAGAGCCAGTGGCGTCATTTTAGTTTTTGAAAGGGAGTGGTGATTTGCGTTTGACCCACAAATTAACATTTATGATATTAGTGGCCTATACTTGGTGGACATTATTCCTAGAGACCTAACCTAACCAATGTTTGTTTGATTGCGATAAATTGCAGTAAATTCTTGTAGTGTTTAGGAACTGTAAACAAATTGTGCAAGTGTAGTAAAAATGGTTGGCCATTAAAATAAACATATTTCTTTAATCCAGACATCCTAATATAACTGCATAGACTTATGTACTTTCCAAAATTGAAATGAATTTGGCATCTTGTCTGATGATCAGCTACATTAGCTGTATGATTACCATTGCTGTTTTATTATATTAGTGATCGGCCGATGTCATTAGTAGATAAAACTAGTAAATTAATCAGTAATTTAAATTTCGATAATGCGTTCTTCAATCTTATTGTAACTTCCAATATGCTTATGAGTAAAAAATTGGGCTTCGCTTCAAGTGACTATTGTTCATCAATATGTAATTTTTGGCGGTAGAAAATGTGTGTTTTAACAAAATATATTGTAAAAAATACTTACAATGAATTTGTACTTACAAACGAATTTGATATAATCTAAAAGCATCAATTTCAACAAATTAATTTTTTGAAATCTCGAATGGCGGTAATCTGTATAAGCTGTATCATGCGAGCGCGGTTAAAATTCGGTTACCGATATTTAGTTTTTAGTTGTTGGTAGCACTGATGTGGTATCAGTGTACTTATCAGCTGTAGACGGTTGGCCGAGGTGTCCCGGTTATCAATATTGCAGTTTTTCAATATTTTCATAATTAAAATTTACAAGTTAGAGTTACAAGAGATTCTCATTCTTTCAAGACTTGATCTAGTGTTCAAATTTTATTTAAATTTTGTAGATTTAATTCGTGGTTTTAAACAACTATTTGATTTTACAATCATTTTTCAGTATGTTTATGCGTTAAGTTATGTTTGCACGCACTCATTGACTCAGTATTCATTTTTAAGTACATTGATTGTAAGTACCAATATTTTCCATTTGATTATTTTGAAATATTTATGTTAGATTTGATCATGTTTTGAAGTCCTAATGATAACGTATTTAAAGTAATTTATCTACAGCTTAGTAGTGAACAATATAAACATATGAAATAAATGTGTAAATCAACTATGAATCACTTTTGAGGGTTTGAAATCGCTAAATTTTTAATAGTTTTGTCAAACTCACGATTAACATTGATGCAGGCTTTTTATATTGTGCATTTCAACTGGTTACACTAAGTTGTATGTTTATGTTTGTACTGACTATACATAACAATTTTCAAGCAGATGTTCCGTTAAATGTTAATATTCCAGTCATAGTGTCACAAAATACAGATTTTGACAGAATCCTCCTAATGTTAAATTAAACTTCTATAGGTTAATAGTTGTCTGGGGGGAAGTAATTCCTCACAGGGCGCGTCCCCCCCCAGTGTTCTATGGGTGCATGTGGAAAAAAAAAAAAAAAAAAAAAAAAAAAGGTTAATAGTTGTAGTTTGTTCAAGAAATAAAATGGGGAAAAACTAAAATAAAATGGGTATTAATTTTAAAAAGTATAAATTATTAAACAATAATTTTGCTATGAAATATTATTATTTATTTGTCAAAAAAAAAAAACAAAAAAAATGGTATGTAAAGTTTAAACTATATTTTTTATTTATTATTATGAGTATAATTAATAACTATGTATAAATGGTTAGTATTGTACTTAATTGTCAGCACTCTTTTTTAGTTTTTTCTTTGATTTCATTATTTTATTAAAGAGTCGGATTTACATAATATGAAATGTTTGGTAACCTTGATTATGATTTAACATGATTATTCAATAATATGTATTCTTATGGATGTCTCCAATCTCCAGAGTAGATTAAATGTATAATTACTATTGGTATTGAAATTATACCGTTTAATTATAAACATATAGTTTTTTTTGCATGATAACATTAGTACACCCCAATAATTTTTTTTTCTAAAAAAAAAACTGTATTTAAAACTAATTTAATTTTTTTCTTAGTTATTAAGATTTTTTAATAAAGAAAATTAAAGAAGTATTTTTTTTTTTTAAAACCCACAAATGAAACAAATTTTATGAACAAAATAACTGTCAACTTTTTTTTTATTTATCTGATAATACTAATTTATGTTACACCATAATTATCTACTTTCAAAAAAAACATCTTTCATTTTGACATTATTTTGTTGGTACTTTTAGATTAACGAAATTAAAAAAAATAAAAATATGCTGTTAATTAAAAAAAAATGTATAGATTATTTGTAACAATGCAAAATATAAAAAAATTTGAATTGATTATATAGAATGCATTTTAAGAGTTTGTAGCACATCTAGATATTAAACCATTCAGTAACAACGCAAATGCATGAACTTTCAGGCTCTAGTAATTATTAAAAGATTGTATAGGTACATTTATAGATAGCATTTAGCTCTTTTATAAATTTCACATTAATTAATTTAGATTGTTGAAGGACATTGGCTGTTGTATTTCATGTTATTTCTTATTACGAAAGACTATACGAATATATATTTTGATCTTTGACATCACTTTAGTTTTTTTACAACTGTTATTAAATTTAATTGAACAGAGAACCAAGTATTTTTTAACCACGGAAATTGTTTGTGAGGCTTTTAAAATATTTTACTTTGTAAGTATTTATTAAATTGTATCATGATAATACAGTTTATCAACTGGATAATCTGTTTGTTGTAAAAGCATGTATAGTAGGATGCTTATACTCAATAATTTGTGAGAATCTATTATTGCAGGATAAGCGAACATTTTTTGACCAGATATTTTCTTTTAGAATATAATTAATTAATTGAGTTCCAGGTATTGGATGGAATATAGTAAGGTCATTCGTTAATAATATTCCTACAGCTATATTTCTCGGGAATCCCAAATCATTCAGCGAAACATATTTTCGATTTACTGTTCTGGCTGTTCATTTATGGTGTTATCAGTTTTGCATGGTGGTTTCCGTTTTCCTCCAAAATGACTCGACTGTTTTCGCCATGTCTGTTTTCCGGCAAAATATATACAAATTTTGTACTTAAATTGTTCAAGAACCCCTGAACTTAAATCTATACAATCTTACGCTACAAGCAAGTTAGATGTAGAGGCTATATTCTAATTACCTAGTTATTCAAAATTATATTTTGTGTTTTATTATAAATAAGTTATAATTATGTTTTAAATGTTATTAAAAATTGTATGGCTAATTATAAATGTTAGCCATATATTTTTCTATTACCCCTCCGCTGAATTAAAAAAAGTTGCCAAGTTAATGTAGTGACGAACACTACACTTTGACCTTTAAATGTACTTTTAAAAACCTTTATTCGAATTTATTAATTGATAGGTGTCTGCGTAATTATTAAAAAAAACACTATTTTTAAACCCACCTGTTCATGTCATGACGTTATAATTAATGACATTAGAAAGTCTTTAGCGTATTAAAGGATGGAGAAAATTTTTTTATGAATTTAATATGTGTAATGTTTTAAAGTTTTAGCACATTAATTATTTAAATTAATACTTAATTATTATGTCTACCTGGAAATGTGCGCAAGCAATTATATTTACCTGAAAATAGGGTTTCTATTATTCATAGTTTTTTACTCGAATAAGTTATGATTTTGTGCGTAAAAAAATTGTTTTTTAAGTAAATGTGCGCAAAGTGGATGTAGTCGTGTAGAGAGATATTAATTGGCTTACTAATCTCATCCTATTTTAATTGACTTTATTATTATATTTATCAATATATTATGATGATTATTTGTCACATTTCTAAGTTTTAAAAAATTGGTTTTTGTAGTCTGTTGTTGTCAAAATAACAATATGGTAAACTAATAAAGAAATATTTTCCGAAATTATGTTTTCTTAGAATTTATATATTATTAAAAAATATATAAAAATAATTTGAAATTGTTATAATATAATTTAATAGTTGTAACAAACATGGATTTAATAATTTTCAAACCCCGTTTGTACTTTAAAAAAAAAGCCAATAAAAACACTTTAAAGTTAAGTAATGTTTTTTAGAACGGTATTAAATAATTTCCTAGGAACGAAACGTTTTTATTGTTCCAAACGGTATAATCTAAATATTATAAAAATATGCTTTTTATAGACTTTTTTTTTTTACAAGTTAAAACTCTGTAAGCTATCAGATTTATCATAGGTTATAACAGTTATAACATACATTTTTAGCTACCACTGACCTGGCGCACACGCTAAAATGTTTTAATCATTTTTAACACCCCAATAATAGTTGACATTTTGAATGTAGGTTGAAAAAAAATAAAGCCCTCCCTTCCTATTGAATCGTTAATAATTAGACACAGATAGACTATATCGATACCTTAAAGCACACAAGTGCTATGTCTAAAGTCTAATGTATCGATTTATAGTCCATAGCAAATTGGCGATCGCCGACGACGCGCTATTAGGCGGATGCGAGGGTGGAAAAGTTCTTTTTTTAATCGTCCCTACGGGCTACGGTATCGACGCGAGTAACACAATTATATTCATAACAAAAAAAAGGAAAAAGATCGTTTCTACTGTTTTACAAGTGTAACTACTGTTTTATTTACACTTGTATAGGTTTATATTTATGTGCTTGCGATTTTGTCGTCATAATGAGCTGTTTCAGGGTACTTTTTCAAACTTTATTTTATCGCCTTCAGTATATTAACGGTATTATTGTTTGATGTAATAAAAATACACGCACACACAAATATGTATTAAAGCCGAAAATCCGACAGGCGTTGTTGGCTGAAGTGTGTGCGCGCGCGCCCGTTAATGATGTTGGCAGCCGCCGGCCGAGCGCTTGCGCCCAGCGATGTTAAAAAAAAAAGCCTACGAACTTTGAGCGAGCAATATCAGTGCTAAAAGAAGACGACGCCGCGTTGTAGTGTCACCGTAATCCCGAGACGCGCACGCAATTCTCAACCCCCCGCTTGCCGCCGCCTAAGGTAAAACAAATTAATATAATTTAATACAACCTCTTCCCACCATTGGAGAAACTCGAATCGGCATCACTGCATTTCCCCAAACTGACCGCGTTTACAATATAACCGCAAGCGCCGAGTAATTATAATACTGTGTAAACGGTACCTAATAGCCCCCTCCCCCCCAAAAAAAAAACAGTAATGACATTAATTAAACGCCCGTTGTCTTTTTTTGGTTCTCTGTTTGTTTTCAGGTGATAGCCGAGGTCGAACTGACGATACCCAAAGAATCTACAAAATGGCGTTCGCCGGGCTCAAAAAACAAATAAACAAAGCGAATCAGGTAAATAAAATTTATTATTCTATATTTTTTGTCGTAGATGTACAAGAAAAGTGTTTTCAATTTTCATTTGTATTTCATGTCATAATGCCGATCATCGTTGCTTTCGTTTTTTATATTTATACTGAGTAAACGCCTATCGTTTAACGAAATTCTCTTCGGGTTTTTAAAATCATTTATATCGAAGGGGAGAATAATTCTGTAAAATATTGGGCATGATTTAAGACAACACCACCATGACCAGATTATCAATTTGTCATAATAAATGTTACCAACTAGGTCTCCGGGGAAACGAGCGTTGTGATCATTAATAATATATTTTTCAACAATTCCACTGGTTTGAAGACGGCGTTTTACTTATGCAATATCGATGCGTCTGTACGTATTATGGTTTTTGTTTTTCGTTTAAGGAACCCGTGTAGATCGATTAGTTATGTTTGTTTTTTTTCGGACCGCTAACGTCGTTTAGTAGGTAACGCCCTGGTCTCTCTCAAAGAAAAAGAAAAATTCTAGAGATCATTATCGTGGTCTCCTGGAATATATGAAAACGTAAAAAGTACATGTATAGACTTTTTCAGTTGACCGAAAATTAATAAAGGATAAAATTATTATTGATCGGAAATCCTTTTATTCGTATACGGTTTTTGAAACGTACACGTTGTAGTTAGCCTAAGAAATCAGTTCGAAATGTAAAATCCGCGTACAAAAATAATATGGTGGTAATCGAAACCTTATAAGGTCGTACACTAATTTATATACGCCATCATTGTCTGTGTCTACTTTGTCACGTGACCATTTTAGAGTTGATCTCTATTGACAAAAATATCATCTTTACAAGAGATAGCCGATCTTAACGGATATGTCTCAAACGGGACAAACACATTATTTTGGCCGACTTATTATCAACTTAATGCAATTTTAAAGTTAACGAATGCTGTCCACGCGGTGTCGAAGCCACAACGGAACGGGCATGTTTCGTTGTTCCAAAAAAACCTAGTTGCTGTTTTAATAGGTGTTGTGATTCCTGTTCGCGTTACTCGTAGTGACAGAATAAAATATCGTTTGTGTTGATAAAGAAAAAAAAGTCGCTATTTCTTTTTTTGAACGTTTGCGGTAGTTTTAAATTTTTTTGATTTCGTAATGCCCACGTGTATCGACTAGCGTACACGGTAAACGGTACATATGACGCACTGAAGGCTCACCGAGATATATATTTTTTTTTATTTCCCTGCCGCATTTTGTACTTACAAAGGGGCGGAAGGAGTGGTTGTCGAGTCAAAAATTAGGCCAAGAGAGCGTTGCTTGTGGTGGTAGTGTGTGTTACGGTGCTTGTGCGTGTGTATGCAAGCGTCGCGAGAGAACTTTATTGATCAACAAAGCTCTGCCCGTTCGCTCTGCTGTATACCGGCTGCCGTCGCCAGCCGTTGGGGCTATAATAGCGGATCGCGAGGCCGCGGCGAAGGGGGACCGGAGCACGAGGGTAAGACTGTGAGGGGGACGGCGGTTGTACGATCTTTATCTGTTAGCACTCATCGACCACGTCCCCCTCGATCGAGTTAAGACTGCATGAAAAATTAAAGTACGACACGAATAATATGTGTGCACGTTCGCATTATTAGTTCGATTATTGTACGTACGTACCATCAGTGCCGAATTAAACTGTATTGCCGCCCCTAGGAAAAATAAATTTGCCGCCACTAAAAACTGTTTTTTTTCTTCAACAATGGGCGCAATTAAATACCATTCAATTTAAAGCTAACATTCATTTTTTACATGCTCTATTACCTTGATTTTAAACGGAAATTGTTTGTATAATATCTGACCAATTAATAGATTTAAGTAATAATTCGTGTTCAATATTTAAAATTAAAAGATATATCACCTTTTTTGTTAGATAAAGATCTCCTTAAAACACTTTTCTGGTTCATCTACACTTTTTGCCCATTATCCATTAATTCCGTATTCGTCTCTAATTTATGTAAAATAAATTATTATTTAATATTAGTAGTACATATTTACATGGGTTAATGTTTAAAATATAAATTGGTATAATATAATCATATATATTCTCAAAATTTGTAACAGTAAAAAAATTATCAAAACCTTTTTTATATACCTTTTTTTTTGCACCTGTTGGTTCCCAAAAAATTGTCCCCTCCCCCAAACACCATAAAATTTGCCGCCTAAGACAATTGCCTCCCTTGCGCCCCGTTAAACACGGCTCTGTGTACTCACAACTGTTTTGAACTAAATATAAATTGTAATACATACATATAAAACGACGATGTAGCACAGTCATACAATCTTAATGACCACTCGCGTTGGGTATTAAGATTAGAGCCTAGTGTCTATGATTTTGTGCTTGTATTTACTGTATATACGTGTGTGTTTACAAATACACGTGTTTTTTTACAAAAGTTTTAGTTCGTTTACTGAATACGCGTAGTTAAAAAAAAAACGAATACATAAATGTTATTATACTTATAATTAAAATATTACTATAATTTTGAAAACTAACCTTATATTAAAGGCTAGTTGAGGTTAGTAGGCTAGTAAAGGCTAGTAGGCTGATATCATTTTTTGACTGATCTAAACTCTAAAGTCTAATCATATTTCGTCGAATAGTATTAATTGTAGTGTAATAGCTGTTTTTGTACACAAATTATGGCTCAAATTTTACAGGGATATTAATTGTCCGTTCACACAATTCTCTGTAGACACCTGGATTTTTTTTACCGAGATTTTTAATTTTTTTAATTTTACATAATACATATTTTAAGTTAAGCAAGAAAATATTGTTAAACGCGCCCAACATTAGTGATTCGCCGAAAACGGCGGTGTGCTAGTTAAGAACAAAATAATCGCTTCTCGGGTACTCTTAAACCTACCATATTATGTCTTTGCTGTTGTATATCCACTTGGGTTAAAACGGTAAGTCAACGGACTCGTCGTTATTTCAAGAAATTATTACTTAACTTAAAGCCCCTGTGTATTTTCTGTCTTTTTAAAAGCAAACAAGAAAACACAAACGCGTTTTATCTCGCGGTATCGATTATGTATATTTGTTTACCGCCGCCTACACGTACGATTTATTGCGCATTGAAACTTTGAAAAAGGTCTCTGCAACAATAAACGTAATAACTTTATTATTTGCTTTGTTTTCAGTACATGACTGAGAAAATCGGCGGAGTCGAAGGTACCAAACTCGATGTCGATTTCGTGGACATGGAAAGGGTGAGTGGAGTTATCTACGCTCATATCGATCGCGTGTACTTGTATAATAAGTGTGTTATGATTTAGAAAACCGACGTTACCTACGAACTGGTCGAAGAACTACAGCTGAAAACCAAAGAATTCTTACAGCCCAACCCCACTGCCAGGGCCAAGATGGCTGCCGTTAAGGGAATATCAAAACTGAGCGGACAGGCCAAAGCGTCCACGTATCCGCAAGCCGAAGGTACGCTCGGTGACTGCCTGCTCTTATACGGCAAGAAACTCGGCGACGACAGCCTGTTCGGTCAAGCGTTACAGGAAATGGGCGAGGCGCTCAAGCAAATGGCCGACGTCAAATACGCCTTGGACGACAACACCAAACAGAACTTCCTCGAGCCTCTACATCACTTACAGACAAAAGACTTAAAAGAAGTTATGGTAATTATCGGCTAAAACACCGCTAACCAAACCCTGTATTGATTTGTTTTTTATTTACTTATTTACGCGTTCAGCATCACAGAAAGAAGTTGCAAGGAAGGAGATTGGACTACGATTGCAAGCGAAGAAAACAAGCTAAAGGTAAACTCATAATTTCATATTCCTAACTGTGGATTAATGACGGAGGTGGGAAAATTACTAAAATTTATTTAATAACAAATTACGTAACCGAATTACAAGTATTTATGAATTCAAATTTTGTTTGTAGCCAAACGCAAAAGAACACTTGAAAATTCTGATTTTTATTTTAATAAGTTTTTACAACATTAGAGATGATTTCAAAAAAAACAGACGCTCGGGAAAAAGTATTGAGACCAGATTCGAATTCAGAAAAAAAGTTTAGGAAATGTACGAGTCATTATTTAAGTAATTTAATTAAAATCATTAGAATACTGCCCACCCCTGGTCAGTGGGCGGGGGTGGGGTATAAAAATGACGTATCAAAATAAAAAATATGGAAATGATTATCCGAAGATCTCAAGTAGATCCTTAAATTTTGTTGGGTTATTTATTCGTATACATTGTGGGCGCCAATCAAAGTGAAAACCGTAGGTACAGAGTGCCTCCGGATACGCCAGATTCTTGGGCGTTCTAATGGTTTGTACCATTTATTTTTTATAGGTTCACACGTGAGTGACGAAGAACTAAAACAGGCCGAGGAAAAATTTGCCGAGTCTTTGCATAGCGCTCAGATAGGAATGTTCAACTTGCTCGACAACGACGTTAGTATTGCCACTGTCTGCGCTTTGGGTCTAAAATGTCTGCACTCTACATCCTCACACGTGTCCGTGGTCTAAACTTCAACGTTAAAACTATTGCTCCCTTGCCTAAAACCCTATAAACGTAAGCCTTTTTAGACCCAAAGTGTTAGGCGTTCCTTTAAAAAGTGCATAATGTTAACGAATTTAATACACGGATTTTACACTCACTCCTCAGGTGGAACAAATCTCGCAGTTGACTACTTTCGCCGAATCTCTACTCGAGTACCATCAACAGTGTTCTGAAATTTTGAAATTAGCCTTTATGGAAATCCAGGAAAAGTGAGTAGTGCGACAGTCAAAGATAAAAAACAACTACACTGTTGTCGTGACATCATCGTGTGTGTGTGTGATTTATACTTTTTACAGGCGTGACCAGGCAGCCAGTCGGCCGAAATTAGAATTTGTGCCCAAAACCCTTAACGACCTGCACCCGGTGGACGTGATCTCAGACGACATCAACGGTAAGTACTAAGTGGTCAACTCTTGGAACTATAATGTCGAACCCAGATCAAAATAATAATAATAATACATATTATTATTATTATGCTGTGCCGCTAAATCATGTTTGTCCTGTAACCTAGCACGGTTACTCTGTTAAAAAAATAAATAAAGTGTCTTATGCTGGATGTTGTTAGTTGGAATAATATGTACCGTTTGCCCCGTGGGCGGTATTTGCTACTTAGTATTTGCAAACGGAGTACATTTTTTTTTACCTACACTTAACGATTTCGTTTCAGACGAGTATGAGTTGATGGAACCACGACTCGCACACGTCAAAGGTAAAATAAAAATATAAACACAAACTGTAAACTAAATGATCGCGTGTAGAACAGTTTTTTTGGGATTTAACTAACATTCGTATTTTGTTGTTCAATAGCTTTAATTAACCTAATCGATTACATATAATTAAAGTTTATACCCGACCATTTTAGTTGTATAAATATAATTAACCCCCAAACGTATTATTGTACCTATGATATACTTATTTTTTATATATTTTTCGATACTTACCAAACGTTAGCTGGACTTAAACAAGGAGAAAAAATCAAATTAAAAACAATTTAAATTCTGAGTATTTAAAGTCAGGCTTAACGATTCACCGGCTTCCATTGAACAATGATTGTTTATTGAGAAGGAGAATCGCCTTGCTGAATTAGGGTTCCACCAACATTGTTCTCAGACAATTAATTGTTTTTAAAAAGTTAGGTATGAAAAGGCTTTCGGTAATTTCCAGTAGTTTTAGTCGATAAAATATGTATTTTCATTTCATGTACAACACATCCAATGGTCATTTACACACTTTGCAAAATCTTTATCTTTCTAGTCCGTATTCCACACATACGAGTCTATATTATTATTATACTTAAGCTATAGCTGTTGTTTTCAACTAACATAAATTGCTTTTTACATAATACATTGTACTGAAATCAATATACCGTATTAGGTAGTTCGCGAGCTTCGTCCCCGACGCACTCGAAGTCGGATTTCACCTCGGGATCGAACCATCACGATAACCAGCATCAACAGCCACATCACAATGGTACCTATTGTTGTTTTGGGCATTTTAGATTTACTAATTGTTTTTTAGTAACTAAACTGTAGTTGCCGCTTTTATTTTGTGAATATTATATAATATATACCGCTTTGCATTCATATTACATATCTACATTGTCGTTTACATCAGAGTTGGCCGTAACTCGGATTTATAAAATAAAAGCCGACCCAGTTAAGTTTTTTCGGACATGCATAAACCTAGTAAAATCCATATTTTTGGGTAAATACCAAACATTTACTAAGCTTAAGCTAAAACACCTAGTTGGATTTTTTTTGCTTTGATTTGGGTTGGTTTTGTTTTGCCAACTCTCGTTTACACCATAATAATTGTAAACTATTGTCTGTACCAGTCAAGAAAACGAGTGTCTTATGTTAAATGGATAAGCCTGTATACAATTATATATTTGTTTCTCATTTAATCGTAAGGGATCGTTGTTAAATAGTTAAATTTATAGTATTAACTTCGATGCGAAGCTAAGAAAATGCATGTATGTTGGCCATATTAGACAGTGGTGTAGACTTCTTAGAGGGGGTGGCTCCATGTCGAGACTTATATCAGCCACTTTGTAACTAAATTTTTATTTGTCCAATTCTGAAATAAAGTGGGCCGATTGCGTCAGTTTAATTTGATTTCTCACAGTTTCGACATTTATGTTAGACATGAAGTATTCGATTTAATATGAATTGTAAGAATGTTTTTAAAGAACATAGTAGTTAGTAAAAGTACTAATAATATATTTATATTTTTTTGTATGATAATTTAATATAATATATGTAGTTGCTTTGCCGATTTTATTTTATTTTAATAGATGAAAAAATGTAATATTTTAGTATAAACTCAGAATAAATCGTCAAAATAAACTTTGAACGATGACAAGCTATCAGATCAACAACCGGGCGTGTGTGTGTCCAATCGAACAAACACTGGATGACAACGACTAATACCAGCTTAGAATTGAAACGGCGTTAAATTAATCAGGACAATAAATTGGGCTTGTCCGGTTGTTGATATACCGCGGGATTCCTTTAATAGTTGCCTACAAGAAAATTAAAACCACTAGAAACGCGTAGACGCATGTCGATTCGAATTTCGATCGGATCTTTATATAGACTGACATGATTTGCCTTTTTTCTCGTTCGCAAAGAATGAGAAAAAAAAGTACACCAAAGTGAAATTTGTAAAATTCCTGTCACTATTTATGTGAACGTCGACGGCAGAGATGTTTCCAAAGGGTTTATTCACGAACAACTGCATTTTTTTTTTTACTAAAAATAATTTTGTATTAACCGTTAACTCCACTAATATAATCATGCATTACGTGCCATTTAGGATTTATCGTTTTGAAAACTATTAAAATGTATACTTTGCTCGTGCTTAGAGTGTAGTTACTTGGATGTGTGCAAACGTACTAAAATATCGTTCTATAGCTGATCATTTATATGATGTTCGATTGGTGTAATTTTGTTATTATTTGTTGCAAACTATAAACGATGTTTATTGGGAGAATTTTATTGAATTACCCGATTGCACGCTGATGTATTTGATATTTCGCTTAGCATGTTAAAGTAGACTGTAGAAATAGTATGTATCGCGTGTTGCCGGTAATAGATAATTTTTTGAAAACATAATATTTTGTGTTATGTGTTGTCTGCCTAAATGTAAGTATGTTTAACTCGTCTGGTATTTTTATATAGCGTCTCCAGTGTCTTCTCCAGTCAAGTCTGTTCAACGGCAAATACCACGTAATTCGCCTTGCTGTACCGCTCTGTATGATTTCGAGGCTGAAAATCCGGGAGAACTCGGATTCAAGGTTAGCATAAAATCACCTCATCCTATTACAAAATTATAATCATATGTCAGGGTGTGGTTACCCAGAACACTTATCTTAAGAGTTACGAACAAAAAGTTAACTTTCGTAATTTTTTTTTAATGCAAACATGTAAAATAGTAGTACCTAATTTTTACTATTCTGATTAATTATTCACTCCTAAGATTTTGTTGAAAAAAAATTCTCTTTATATTTTTACTTTTTAAATTATGAGTCGGACAACATTTTTATATTTTTTCAGAATTATTTAATTATGCCCAAATATAAATGTCAGCCTTTATGACGTTTTTTTATACTGTAAACTTATATTAAATTAATTATCATGCCTCCAAGTGTTCTTACAGAAAAATGAAATGATAATAAAAAGGTATAGTTAGTTATTTATCGAGGAAAAGTTCCGCCCAAACTTTTAGCGTTTTCATGAGTTGGTAACATTTTCGAGTCATAATTAAAATTATTTGTTATAACTACAACACATTTTGATTGAATTGTATAATATTCCAATAAATTAACTGATTTTGCTCTTGTAAAAAAAAAATTCAATTAAAACCATTATAAAGTTGAGTCATGCCTTGTGGAACAATATATACATTATAATTGTATAACTTAACTTTAAATTTTAAAACAAAATCGACCAATTTAATAATACAATACATACAAATTGATGTATCTGTTTTTTCATTACAGGAAGGCGAAACGATTATACTGTTAAACAGGGTGGACGAGAATTGGTTCGAAGGCAGCACAAACGGCCGCACTGGATACTTCCCGGTCACATACGTACAAGTCGTCGTTCCATTGCCATAGTTCTCTCTATAAATGTTTTTTTTCAAACAGTCGTTTATACATATATATGATTTAATACTAAATTTAACCTTAACTTAAAAAAAAAACCTTCATAGAGAAAACTTAAATCTATTTATAACACTATATCTACATACTATTTTCATTATTTTTAAATTATAAGTTCCGTTTTCGTTGTATGGACATTGTTACTAATAATAATAGTAGTGGAAAGACAACAAACATACGTTTTTCGTGAGCTTGCCCAAGTGTTATATAATTATAATTAAATATTATAAAATAAACTCGAAATTTTGTTTTTAAATTCAAAATTGTTTGTGTAGTCGATAAAAAAAAATGTATTGTTATTGGAGTGTTGTGGGTGAGCAAATTCTGTAATTGGCATATCTCCTTTCTATATTTAACCTTTTACACACGAGTTATGACTTCGAGTTTTTACCTACAGGTTACATTTTGCGCTTAGAATTTTAAACGGTTTCTTAAATTATTTGTAACATTTTTTAGTACATTCGTTTGTCTTTATTTCCTATTGGCTTTAAGATATATTAGGTACCTATTTCTTCTTCATACTAGTATACTAGATATTTAATATAAATATACTTAAAGTTTGTTACCATTTGCTTACACGAAAGGTCTCTGTATCTTTAGACAATAAATATTCCTTAAAAGCAATTTCAAACAAATTTAACTCGTATGCGATAATTATGTTGCTATTTTTATAGTAATCCATTATATACATTATAATATATTATAACTATCGTAAATGTCTTCATCTGTGTGTATTTTTAGATATTTAAGGAAAAAAAAATTATCTTAACTTATAAATTATTCTATTAAAAACATAAATATTTTACTCTAAATCTTTGTTATAAAACAAAATTCAATAAAATACATTTTTTTTTAAAGATACAAATTGTTACTCAAGACATTTAACCTAAACTATATTATATTCTTGTTCTCATACATATGTATATGACTATTTATGTATAAAATAAATGTTACTCCATAAAAAAAAAAAAAGAAATGTTAATCAACACTTTCTTGAGTTTTGCTATGTCTGAAAGAATTAGACGTTTTAAAAGTATTTGGTATGAACGCGGTGGTGTTATCAATTGACTTATGTTATAACATTAGTTGCAAGTGTACATATATACTTACTGATTTACTTGTATAATAAAATATTTTCAAAAGAAAAATAATAAAAAATATCTCGTTCATTTGTTGTAAGAATGTGAACGTGTCAATTTTTAAAAAAATGAATGTGAACGCAGTTAGTTTATTTTACAATGAACGTAAATCCATACGAGTTTATTATTTAAGTATTGTGTTGAAGACTGAGAAATAAAGTACCTTTAGTGTGTTTTAAAAGATAAATGCTTAATTTGCCTAAATTATAAATACACTAGAATTAGAAAAATTCAATTATTACTGATTGCTATGATTTCTGTTTATAAATCATGAGGACATATAAAATTCAAATTTATTTCATTAGAATAGCCAATGATATTGTTTACAATTTTTGATACATAAATTTGAACAATTCTAGCATTAATGTATATTTTAAGTGCGTGGATAAAAAATTGAGCAGTTAACAGTCAGTTGATAGCCTTTTTAACCAAAATTAAGTAAAATACCAGTGTGTATTTTAATAATAATTAAGATTGTACTGTGAGACACTTTTAAATATAATAAAAGGTCTTTATCGACTTGTGAAAATGTAAAACCATAAATAATACGTGACATTCTATTTTAGTTGCTATAAACTAAGTTCATTATTTCATTACAATAATCATACCGAGCAAAGCCATTGTAATGCAAAACAAGGTAGAGACATTTTATTAGTACAAAATATGAACTGACTAAACAAATATCAATACAATATTATTATCTTATTGATACTTGATTACCCTTATTATATGATCCGATAATATATAAACTTTTTTACCTCACTTAACTATAAAAAAAAAAATATAATTTTATACAAAAATGAAAAAATCAGTTTATTTTATAAAAAAAAGAATATTAACCCTTAACTAGTTTACATATATTATATAAAAAAAAGTTTAGATGCTTTTAGTAACTTTTCATGTTGTGTTAAGTATTTAAAAAAATGGTTTTAATGAAAAGCTTCTGAATATTTCAAAAATTAATAATTTAAAGGTATGTCACGGCACTAGTAAAGGCTTTATACTTTGTAAACATTTTTCTTAATAATATTACAATGATATATTAGGCACTTAAGAACTACACTTAGAAATTGTAAAAACATATAAAACATAGACTGAATAAAAAAAGTACATCTCTTAATGGATTACCATATAGAATAGTTAAATAATGACGTGCTAATGGGTATTTAAAAAAAAATTTAAGTTTTGGCAAAGCAAAAATAAACCATTGCACAAAGATCATCAGTTGGCTTATAGTACATAAAGAAATGGAAAATGAAGTTAATTTAATTGATTTAATTTTAATTGATATTTAAATATTGTTATTGTAGTGTTGTTAAAGTATGATATTGGTATTAAAAAGCTAATTGTATTCTTAAAAACAATTGACATTTGTATTTAAAATTTAAAAAATAGCTCAATTACAAAACACTACTGTTTTATTTTACCAATAACACTAACATAATCCATTAATTTAAATTGTTTTCCATAAACACATAAGTTACATACATATACTTAAGAAAGTGGAAGGTGAGTTTTGTCACAAGTACATAAGTACATGTGTTTATAAGGAATTGTGTAGGAATTTTGATATCTTATAAATATTAAATATTGAGATCCTAAAACTGAATAGTTTAAACGATTAATTGATTCAAACTTTATTTATCTTTGATTGTCGTTTGATGGTACAATTTGAGCAAATTCAATGCGTCTTGAGCTTCTCTTTTTTCATAAAGAAATCTTCCGCTGGCCTCTTTAATCTGCTCCACAAATGACCTGCAATTATAATTTTTTAAAAATCAACTAGTTTCTAAATGTATTGTTTTCATCTAAATAAATAATAACCTATCAATTGCCTGATCAGTGACATCTTCGGGATTCATGTCAGCTAGTAATTCAAGATCACAACCACCCAATAATGCGATTTGACCAGAGTCGCTTTTCAAACGATCAATTAAACAATTTATACTTTGTTTACCATCTACATCATCTTTTGATAGTTGAATACTGAAAAAATTAAATTATTTGTATTAACAACTTATATTCAAAACGAATTAGACATATTATGGATACAAACTTTATGCTACTGTATGGAGACCATTTTTCATCTTTTTTAAGTATCATAAACAAAGTGTTTTTTTCCAAAGTATCAAAGTAGTCGTTTTCATCCACTTCTGTGCCATCTAATTCTAAAACTACTTTAACCGGTTCCTCAATTTTGAATTTTTGTTGAGCTGTAAAAGGTTACAATTTATTTTTACATGATTTTTATTATTATTATTATTATCAGAGTTCTGTAATGTTACAAAATATAACATGAACACAATAATTTTGTACATTAAATTAATAACAGGTTATAACATGATATTAGAATAGTTTCGGAGATAATGAATAGCGTTATAATTTTTTCACTACTGAGGAATAACAACAAAAATTGTTATACATTTATATACCTTAAGAGCATTTACCCAAATAACTTGTATCATATTTTTATATTCTAAATTTGCAGGCAATTTATTATTTATTTATTACAAGATACATTTAAAAATTGGTCAATTAATTTATTTTTTGGTTCTCTGAATTCAAATTTAAAAAACAAATAAATTTGATACACCATTCATTAGAACACTCTTGGTGGGAAATTTTTTCCATTATGTTTTTGTAATAAATAAATATATTATGTTATAACATTTTTGGAATTAATAGTTTACAACATTATTTCTATTTTATGTTTATTAACATAATTTTGGATTGAACAAATAAAACTGTTAACGGAATTCTGATTATTATCAAAACTTTAATATAACTTATTATGTAGTAAAAATAATGTAAATTTATTTTTTAAATACCTTTAGCAATAAGATCAGATAACGATTCTGCGACTATACCTATTTTATGTTCTCTTTTGGAATCAACAATTTTGTAAGGCATTCCATTTCTATTATTTTTGTGTTCCAATTGTGTATTTTCCATGATAAATCTAAAGTAGACAAAATATATATTAATTTTATAATATGTAAAAACTACAACAGAAATAGTTTCAAAATTATACTCACATATAAACAATATTTTTAAACAATATGTAATAGACCCGTTAGTTACTTTAAATATTTTATAGATAAGACAATTTATATGACGCACCTCTTGTAAAAAAGCCCAGTAAAAATAAAGTTTAATCCGAAAGTTGTATTCCCACTCATATTTTTAACACATGGTTTGCATACAATTTAATATACTTTTAAATGTTTTATACATAAAATTAGTATTGTTAAAAATTAAGTTTTGTAAAATCAAATAAACAAAGAAAATTTGATTAGAAAAGTAGAAAAGTTGTCTATTTATATTTATATCGAACATATGTAGTGAAAAATTAATTTTAATATCGCCAATACAAAATTTGTATATTGTCGTGGCTGTAAATCGGGGTGCGGTACACGTTATTGTAATTTATATTATTCAATTTGAATTACTATAATAAGCACATTTGTGATTTAATAAAAATATGAAGATGAATCCAATATGAAATATTAAATGAGTTATGCTTACTCTGTAAGACGATGTAGTCCAGTCACTCCAGAGGGTCTAAGTGAATGGGGAATTAAAAAAAAATCAAGCTTAACGTTAAAGATATGGTTTCTTAAAATATTTACAGTGTATAAAATGTAAATGCTAAAGTCGAGACTTAAGAACAGTAAACACTAAAGGCTGAAGCAATTAAGTTGAATTCTGCGAAGAATTATTCAGTTTTATGGAGTATCCAATGGGTATTTACGCATTTGGAATTATTTTTACATTTGTTCGATATTATCAAGTCAATTATCAAAATTTGGCATGGTCAATTCGACCACTTGTAACCAAAATCGACCAGTGTAAAAGTGTCGTTACAAAGATATTGCAAAAAATCTATATGATAGGTTTTATCGTACATGATAAGTGAGATTGTTTACAAAATAAATTAATCAAATTTTCGGCGTGTTCGAGTCTGTTCATAACAGACATTTCAATAGTTATTTTCATGTTCCCTACATTATTATTGTCAAATTTATAAACTTCTTAAAATATTAAGGAACGTTACTCTAGAACGGTACACAAGTATTTGGATTTTCTGTTGATTTGTACAAATTTACCAGGTAATAACAAAAGTGTATGGGTAATATTTTTAAACTACTAACACCCAAAAATCTAATTTCAATTTGTACAGAATCGTTCATTTTTGTATCATGAACATCTTCTTTTTCTTCTTCCGTGACTTCAGCCTTCAAGACCATGTCGTCCAACAAATTTGCCTCCAACGCTAACTCCTTCCAATCCATCCCTGGTTTCACTTTCTCTATGTCTTCTTGACCCTATCTTCCCAGCGTAATCTCGGCCTTCCAAGTGGTCGTTTTCCTTGTGGTACATTCTCCTGTACTATTTTTATCAATGATCCTGTTTTTCGCTAAGAATGACCTGCCCACTTCACTCTTCTTTTGGTAATATCTTCTTTAATGCTTGGCCTTTGATACAAATCCTGAAGTTCCTTGTTTTTACGTATTCTCCATTCACCTGTAGATTCGTCTTTATATGGTCCATACCTTTTTCTCAGTACCTTTCTTTCAAACACTAATAGAGCATTTTCATCTATTTTCCTTAAGGTCCAAGTTTCCGAACCATATATCACAACTGGCTTGATAAGTGTCTGATATATTTGGGACTTCAGTTTTCTAGAGATTAATCTAAATCTTGATAACTTTGTCAGACCAAAATAACATTTATTGGATGCTTGTATTCTCGCTTTTATTTCCATACCTACTTCATTCTGCTATGTTATTAGTGCGCCAAGGTATTTAAACTGCTGTACTCTTTTGAACTTGTAGTTTTCGACTTCTAGGCACTCATTGCGGCGATCTATTTGCTCGTGTCTTTGAACTACCATATATTCAGTTTTCTTAGAGTTAATCTCTAGGCCTATACGTTTTGCAGTATCATGAACATTTGTAAACAAAATTATATTCTTTTTAAATTAGTTTTTTAAATTGAATTATCAATAATAAATAAGTATCTAAATAATTATCAGACTGATGCACAATATTTTGGTTGATATAATCTATTTAAAGCTGTTAGGTGTTAAAATAATTATATTTTTGAATAATATAATTTATGTAAATTGGGATTAAAAGTTATATTCATTTTTAGTTAATCTATAAAAAATGGATGAAGAAACTGAAGTTAAAGAATATCGCTGGGAAGGAGGATATGAGAAAACATGGGAAGAAGTCAAAGAAGACGAAGGCGGAAATGTAGAGTGGTCAGTTAAAGAAATAATAGAGAAATCCAAGCGGTCGTTAGGAACACGTCAGCCCAATGTTCGTCTTGGTATGATGCGACATTTGTATGTTATTATAGACTGTTCAAATTCAATGTTTGAAAAAGATTTGAAACCTACTAGACAAATGTGTACCTATAAATTACTTCAAGATTTTATACAGGATTATTTTGATCAAAATCCAATCAGTCAACTAGGCGTTATAACAACGCGTAATTCATCTGCAGAACGAGTGACTGAGTTGTCTGGTAATAGAAAATATCACCTGGACGAACTAAAAAAAACATTTGGAGATTTTAATTATTGTAATGGACTCATGTCAGTTCAAAATTCATTGGACTTGGCTTTGTCTTTTATGAAAATGTTACCATCACATACTAGTCGAGAAATACTCATTATAGGCTCCAGTTTAAGTTCTTGTGATCCTGGAGAAATTAACACCACTCTAGAGGCTCTCAAAACCAACAATATCCGAGTTTCTATCATACATTTAGCTGCTGAGGTACACATGTTTCGACATCTGTGCAACGAAACAAAGGGCAAACATAATGTTATTGTCGACGACGTACATTTTAAACATGTACTTTGGTCATTAGTTGAACCAGTTCCTCTGCCTAATTCTGTGGATGCTTCTTGCGTTAAAATGGGATTTCCTCAAGAACTAGAACAAAAGCCTCCATTCACCACTTGTTCTTGTCATCTGAGCGAAGGTGGTAAATTGAACGCTAAAGGTTTTTTTTGTCCTCAGTGTAATAGCAAATACTGTGAATTACCAGTAGAATGCAAATGCTGCGGGTTAATTTTGGTGTCTTCGTTGCATTTGGCTCGTTCTTTACATCATTTGGTTCCTATAAAGCAATTTGTAAAAATCGAGCTCGAAGAAGGCGCAAGCGCTTATTGTTACGGTTGTAGAAAAAGAATACGTATTCCAGCAGAATCAGTGTATTTGTGCGAGTCTTGTAAAAAACACTACTGCGACGGCTGTGATATTTACATACACAACACATTGCATGTTTGTCCCGGTTGTGCTGTGAAGCGTGATGAAAAAAGATAACAGCAGTATAAAATTAACAAATTATAAATGTATGTATACATACATATATTGTGTTTTTTATTGTAATTTTACTTAGATATGTAGAATAAAATTAATTCAATATAAATCTTTATATTGTTATTAAGTATGTACAAAATACATTTTTTTTATACATTTTTCTGTAATTAAAAATATTGCTTTGGTCTTTTTAAACAATCGCTACAATTTGTTTCATTTACGTGGAAGTCAAGAAATTTGTATACTAAAACTGATCTGTAATCTACTGAACAATGAGTTACTAGGGCTTTACTCTTGAATCAAATTAATTTAATAAAAACCTATTTTTTAAATAAATTGTGTTTATCGAAAAAATACATATAAATTACTTATATAAAAACCTTAATAACTAAATTCACATTAAAACAACATTGTGTTGGAAAAGTTCCTTTTTAAAATTTGTTTAATTTTTGTAAATATTATTTTAACAAAATTAATTGAAAACAAGGAACTATTTTGAGTGTAGTGACTATACTGGAAAACGTCATACAGCATACCGGTAGTCACATGAACACACATGAACATCACAAATGATACAGTTAACGATGATTCTGATCAGCAGTTAAAAACGAAACGAAATTTGAAGTTACTGATTTAAAGTCACCATTACTGACAATCGATTACAGATTAACTATTAAATACATTTTTTATAAATATAATATTATTTATGGAAATGTATGCAAACAAAATTATTACTAACACTATAAGTTAAAACAACTAATTTCCGTTCACGTTATTAAAAAAAAAATTCTTTCCTGTTCCTTGTTCCTTTATTTCAAAACAAAACAGAATTTAAATTTGTGTTGTTTTGCAATAAAACGCGAAACAGAACGTACGGCATTATAACATGTTTTTAATTCCTGTACAAAATACTTGGAATAATGGAAAAATTATTATCAAATACTATAATTGAATGATAAAATCATTTAAAAAGGATTTTTGGTATTGTAGTTGACTTGTTAACGTATATCGATAATACTTTATCAAAAGAACACCTAGCCAATATATATGTGTAACTATTTAAAAAAAATTTACGGTTGGATGTAAAGGACAAAGATTCAATTTTTAAAGACTTAAACGATTATCAATTACAATATAATTACACAGCGATCACTGTTCTGTGTAGGAGTTAAATAATGGAGTAATGTTTGTGCTTTAAAGAATAATGTTAATAGCTAACGTTATTTTGTACTAAAAAGTACCTCGTTAAGTTAAAAGTTACTGAAAAAGTAATTTTTTACTTTTTTACTCGTTATCTTTGACATTATATCTATTGGCTATTTTATTCGAGGATTAAGAAAACAAACATTTTGGGGAAACAGTGTAAACAATTTAAGTTTAAACGGTAGGTGAAATAAAAATGACCAGTTACCTATAAATTTCGACTTTCTAGCGTTCAGATAAGTTTACAATTACGTTGACAAAATCAGCATAATATGTATACTTTTATTTTTACTCAAGACTAACATTCTGAAACCTTATCGAAATTAGTGACCCCATTGACATGACCATCCCTTGTAACAATTAAATTATAATAAACCAATTTAAGTTTTTAGGTAGGTAGGTAAAATTATACGTAGACCGAATAAATCATTTTTTAGGAACGAGTTATTTAATGTACACAATATACATATCTAGTCAATTTATTTAAGCAAATTCACATAACTGGAAAGAGTTAAACACATTTTCCTTGGTTTATTACTTTAGTTTTACATGTAAATAAAATATATCTTACACAAGTTTGGAACTAATTAAAACTATTTTTCATAAAATTGTAGCATGCTATTGTGTACTTTCTAGGGTGTTGTTTTCAATTTTGAATGTAAATGGAAAAACTGTATTTATAGTTTGTCTTGTAAATTAAATGAAAGGTTGTTAAGTTCAAAAAAACCATAAAAGATAATCGAAATTAAGAACGCTTGACAGTCGAGTAGACAACAGTTTTATTATAAACGCAATGTAAAACAACAAATACTAACGAACAAGATTAGATCCTATTAGACGGCAACTTAAAAATTAAACTGATTTATTATATTATACTTTATATTATAATGTAAATATACAGCTTATATAACCGCCAGAATATAGAACGCAGATTGAAGTGGCCCTGGCTGCACGACCTTTTTGGACATCACTGACTATCGAAGCGAAAACAAATCGCTATGGTTTTAACTGCATTCTATCGAATTATCTTACAAATATATTGCACTATAAGAATTCAGGCAATTTGATGAGCTTGGATTTGATTAAAACCACAAACCTTACATTTATATTAAACTATCTATAGATATTAGATTCACATGGAAACGTAAATTGTTGAGAGTGATATTATCACTCAGTTATAATAATTTCCTAAGACTTGTGACTTAATTTCTCCTATGCTTAATTATTTATTTAATTTTTGTTTCATTATTTAAAAATTGTACTTATGAATGTTGTAGGTGAACATTGAGATAATTGCATGTAAAGAATTTTATACTGACTGCGTGAATCTCAGATCATTTCAAGTTGTACATAACTGTGATAGCATAAAAGCACTTCTCCATTTTATCGAAATAGATTATTTTAGCCGTGAACCTGAATGTCTATTTGAAGTCAGTATAAGGTTAGTACCTATAAATAGCCTACTATTTTTACTTATTATTTATATTTATTTTTTTCTAAGTGAAATTATTAGTAAAACCCATTGATAATTGATTTAAAATATACAATATTTTACAATCCATTTATATTATTGTTACCCGAGTAAAATATTAAAAGTATTGTTATAAAACTATAAATTTTAATAATTAATAATTTCTGTTATTTTATAGGGAGAATGGGTTCTAAAGAATTGTACATTAAATGTTGACCAAGGCTTACATCTATTTTATGGACCAACAGAAAAATGGTAGGATGGCTGTTTAAAAACTACTTCGTAAAAGGCGACTAACGCGACGTAGAGCCCTTCGACAAGTGGCCTTCTGACAGGTCACTTCTTTTTTTGACACACCTTCTCCGGCTCGCAATTAGCACCCACTGCTACTAGTCGGTCCGCAGTCGTAGGGGATCCCCTTCGGGGCTAACCACTAAAGCCAAGGAACATCTGATTAAAAACAACTGTTAAATTCCATAATAAACAAAATCAACTGGTTGCAACTTTTCGGTTACATAATTGTTTTTTGACGTACAGAGAAAAAAAGCGCACATTATTGTAATACTTGATTTTTGAAATACATTTTTATATTGGTGTGGAGATATTGTCTTTTTTAAACTCAATATTTATACAATATTTGATATACGTTCACGTTGTAATATTATAATTTATAATAATGGTATAATATGAACAATATTGTACAATTTTAAATATTATGGTATAATATACAATGTAATGTAACTTAGTATGTCATTTATAAGTGTGTGGGCCTTATAAAACTTTTTTTTTAACTAACTGTTTATTGTTTAAATTTGAATTTCAACAAACCTTGTTTTAAGATGCGAGACAGGATCTATTTTTCTGTATATTGTGTTATAGTACTGTTTCTGATTTCTTGATGACTGGCTCTACTAAAGCATATCATGAGAAAATATTTTATTTCTATCGTCATAATTATAAAAACACTGTGTATTTTATTATGTATGTAATAACAAAGCGACTATCGCATAGATTTATCAAATAATGTGGGAAATATTAGAACAATAATTCCGGAAATATTGCAGCAATTATGGTGAATACATAAATATTAAATATATTTTAAAGTTGAGCAAAATCAACAAAGACAAGGACGTAAATAAAGTCAAAGTATACAAATCCCGAGGAATGAATACTCGTTAACGTAGTGCATAGAAGATAATATTATTTTGTAACTCGCATTACATTTTATGATGTTATTAAACTGCCATTTGTACATATCGAGCATTGCTTGTATGTATTATGTATATTTATCCAATCCAATAATGTGAAGCCTACTTTGTACGATGATAGAGTTAGAATTTTTATTACTGTGATTTTAACAATTAGGTTTACTGTATCGTTTTCTTAAGCAACTTATACATTCAAAATACATACATCGAATTCTGAATATTGCATTAATGACAATAGAAGGTATATGTATTCTGAATGTATGTCAATAAACTATACTTGCATAGTAAGCGCTTAGGAATAGGTAATTATTATGTAAATAAATAAACAAGGGACATTTGAAACGACCGAACAAGTATCGCTTTTATTATTATTGTACTTGCAGTGCTCGCATGTTTCTATTTGCAGAAAATAAATGTTAATTTGAAATTTATTATTAGTAGATATTTAAATAGTTGAGTCTTCAGACAACAGCAGCGGAATTTATTCATTTGCTGCCATCGACAGCGTTGGTTTTTATTTCTTCGGATGAAAAATAAAACGGAAACGTTAACTCGTTATGTTTAATTTCATCGAGAAGCAGTTATATGCATATTGTATGACATCACTGACAAAATATATAGAGCTGTTAAATGAGTTACCATACGAAGCGTACACACTAAATGTCATGTTTGGAATTACAATAACAATTTTATTCAACGTCGATAAATATTCAAACATGTATATGTAATCACAATAAAACAACGGTGTGTTTAAAATAAGTATGCGATTTTATATGAATTATTAAAAAGAAACCCGATAAAAATCGTGCTTTCACAGACGGCCAACATTAAAAAAATATAAACCACCAAACTAAAATTATAATATAATTAATAATAATAACAAAAAAAGTAGGAGATACACAACAATGAGTATGTACCTCGATTTATACTAATTGTATAAAAATAATACAATAATTATTTAAATAACAATAACATAGGTCCCGCCAATTTAACTATTGTTTAACAGGTATGTAGGAAAAATTAGAAATCGATACATTTAAAATTAAAAATAAATTATACTTCAAAACGAACATAATAATAACAAGGGCAATATTATCATCTTGGATGTAAAATAAAAAAAAGGTTCACCGTTACATTTATTGTCATGTATAACTTTAATAATAATTAGTTTTATCTGAACGTCCGTTATATACAATACAAAAAACATGAACCGAAGGCCAATATCATATTTTATGTTTATTAAAACAAGTTTTATATTTTATTCCATTTGAAATAATTAATAAGTATTGGTTTAGTTAGTCATGTACAAAGTGATCTATTATAATAACGTTAGTTTAGCATTATATTACTATCTAATGAGTTGCAATTTTTTAGTTTTTCTTTCTCAAAACATATTTATGTGTTATTTTACAATATTACAAGATAAAAAAATTATAGAGCTCTGGAACTTACTAAACATTTGAATATTGTAAAAAACGTAAACTAAAATGTCTTAAAAAAGCCTATAAAAGTGTAATTATTTCCCAAAAAAATTAGTTTTACTTTTAATAGACCACCCTACATAATGAAATCAGCGAACCACACGGCCATGTTTTATGGAAAATTGAATAGCATTTAAATTGTAGTACAAAAAATATACCGTAATTATTTTTATTTTATCATCAAAGTATTAATAATAATTATGATTTTTTGAAAATTTCCGTTGAGTGTGAAGAACAGTTTTGGCAGTTGGCTAACGGTTGTTTTCCCATTGATATTTTCTTTTATATGTATATAAGTTATATTTTATTTATTTAGTCGGTCAATAATGCTGTATAGTGTTTGCCCTATGTCTTATTTTTTGCTCACATCAGTCACATGGATAGTATTATTACCTTATACATAATACATTTTCATAATTTCTCTATGTATGACTTCTCAAAATCCAGTAACACATTTAATAATTAATAAAATATACAAATTTCAACGCGCTTCGATAAATCTATAAATTAATAAATAAATAAATATTTTGTTCACTTTGCAAATCTTACGTGTACATATTTTAATTTAAATTTACAATATTTATAAGATTGTAGAAAAACCATAACGGCATATCCCCCATTACGTATGTACACTTTTCATTTTACAAATAAACTAAATACATATAATTAATATTATACATACATTATATAGATTCTTATATTATACGTTTATAATAGCTGTGTCCCAGACAATAAATTACTATAAATAGTAGTTTCTAGAATAATTTAAATAACACATTTACATAATAAAGTTTTTCCATTAAAAAAACTAGATAAATCTATAGACCTTAAGTAAAAAAAGTTCGATAAAAGTTTACATTAAACACATTTAGCATAACATGTTTTCATCTAATTTTAACTAGTAATAATTGATTACCCAGTATATAATTATGTGTAACTTAATATTTATTGCTAATTTATTTTTCAGCGTCACCAGTGATTCATTGATTTGTGAGCTTTAAATAATATATAAAAGTAATACTGTTTGATATTAATTATTGTACATACAATTTGTAAGTAAGATCCACAGGTAATGGCAGTCAAATGCTTTCGATATTTTCTCGTCCAAGTGCTTTTAAAACGTTTTAGGGTTTAAACGGTTTATTTCTACTTTCAAAGTTTATATAATTTGGGTCAAAACGGTTAGGATATCACGACGATATTTGAACCTTTTAAATATTTTTTTAATATATTTCACAACAACGAATGTTAATTGTTATAATTTATTCTACAGCAGTAGCCAGTACTTGTATATTAAAGTATACATTTGTTTTAAGTAAAAAGAATAGGGAAAAAATAATTTTATTTTATTAAAATTTGTATTTTAAAATTATTATTTCATATTTATTGTACGTACAATGTATTATTGTGTATGAACTACGAAGGCGCTAATATATTTTTCAAAGGGAGTATACTCTAAAGCCCAAATTGTATTTTAGATATAGAATTACAACTTTATATACTTTAATTTTTATAAAAGTATTTTACCCCCCCCCCCCAATTCTCTTCAAGTAGAATTTAAACCTCGGGTGATAATTCTAAGAGAGTTTTTTTTTGTAAATTAAGTTAGTCAATGATTAATAATAAATATAATAAATAGTTTGCACATTGAATATAATTAAAAATTACCACAATAATCGATTACTAAAGGCAGTTTGGGAACTTTTGTTTTACGAATAAAATGAACACATATTTTGTATAACAAATAGTAATAATTGTTACAATATAAATATAAAATAGCTTTATACACTTCAAACCGAAGCTTCGTCGATGACTGTTATTAGCCGACTGTTGGGACCGGCCACCAGCCGCCACTTGCCACCCTTGGACGTTTCCTCTTCGGCTTGTTTTGCCAACGACCACCGTCGCCCCTTGCGGTCCATGATCACAGGCATTTCGGCGATCAGGTTGTTCTCGAACTCGCTGAGCATCAGGTAGTTTTCCACCTTGTTGCACGACGTTATGCAGTCGCCGATGTAGTCGAGGTCGTCGAGCAGGTTGTCCGGCAAGTCCATGTCGGCGATGCCCTCTTCGGATATGCACGTCAGCTCGGGCTTGTCGTTGGGTCCACCGGGACCCATCATGCCAGCTCCCATGGTGCCGCCAAGGAGGCCGCCGCCGAGTCCCTGCATGTTTAGTGGCGGTTCGACCACCACCACCTCTTCAGGTTCCACGGTGAACGACAGCTTTCGTCGCTGCGGACAAGAGTTGGACACGCAAAGCTGTTTGGCGCCGGACTCGCCGTGTTTGTGCCTGGCTACGTTCCTTCGGTGTAAGTCGATGAAGAACATGGTCAGACTGCCCAGCAGCACGCATGCGGAACTGAAATAGTAACCGGATTTGCCGCCGTAACCGATGTTTATGTAACCTGCACGGTAGAAAAACAGGAATCGTTAACGAACCGTGTAAAAATATCAATTTTACCACTAATAAATCACGCAAAAGCTTAATAAAGGACTTAGTATTAAAATTATTATTATTAACATTTCCAAGGGTAGCTAAATGTTTATATTCATAATTATTAACGGTCACTGATTCTTTGGTGAAACCTTCGCGCTATTCCGTTTTGAACAAGAATTAATTTTTGGAAGCCGATCCCAGTTAAAAAAAAAACTGCGAGTCGTGTGATTTTGAAACATGAACCAAACACGTGTAATTTACAGGCTTTTTGCTAAATAATGCAATACTGCATTTAAGATCCTGTAACGCGTAAAAACAAATTTTTTTCCATAGAAGGTCATAAAGAACTGATTAGGGTATTTGTTCAACTTGTCAAGTTATATTGTTTATAAAACAGCATGCAGTAAAGTTGAGAGTTGAGGTCACGAGTGTTCGAGCGATCAAATAGACGCTGTAGAGAAAATTTAAAACCAAATACGGATTTAGCGGGTAAACAAATATAAGCACATTTTGGTACATGCTATAACAAAAAAGGGAAATTTTGTTATATATCAAAATATTATTGGGCGAACGAATAACCAGACTAATTTTAGGTCGGCTACATTAGGAAAATATAATATTTGAAATAATAAAATCACATATTTGAATCATGAATATTTCAAACGAAGGAAATTTTATATACTTAACTCTCGTTGGTTTCAATAAATTTAGTTGGCCAATCAATTCTATCAAAGTTTTTATAAAATTTAAGTCATATTGAGTCGGTCTCACACTAGTAGTTTGGGACGCTGCATCAGTGAAATCGAAATTGACAAAATCAATAGGTATTCACAATGATAATACTGTGGCGTTGGCGTGTATTACCACGGTTGGCGAGTATAGTACGTTTTGAGAATAGTTACCGGAAATTGGTACGCCCAGTGCGATGGGTATGGCTTGCGAGCACTGCACGAATCCCCAGGTTCGAGCGAAATTCCGGGCTCGGACCCGCTCGTAAGTGTACATCTTCAGCGAATAATGGTATCCGCCGCAGAACATGCCGTACACCCAAGCAAACATGACATACCCCTGGCGGTCACCTTGCACCGTGGTCAGTGCCAGTATGGAAACGCCGCACATGAATACCGAAGCTTGACACAAATACTGTCGGGCGATGCGGCACTCCACCGAGTTCCTGACGACAATCAGACCGAAAGCCATACACCCAACGGTCCACGCCAATCCCATGTGAACTTGCAACATAAGAGCTGAGTCGGGAAACCCGTCTTCTTCGGCTTGATGAGCCTGCAACGAAAGTTCCGCATTGATATAACATATACCTGTGTATTAATTGTAGCTATCGAGACAATACAGTATACAGTTGAATAGCTAGGTAGTTAGATACCTATAAATCAATATCGTAAATACCAAAAAACAACCTAGGCTTATGTTCTGGTGGTGTATTTATCGGTTATTTTCTTGAAGTAATGCTCGAAATTAATTGAAAAGTGTTTTAGGTATACCATTTCTAATAAATGGTGGATTATGTATACATTTGTGTTTGAGACGAGTCCGAAAAAGAAGCGTATGAATGTTGTTATAGATATAGATATCGTGAAGTGAATAACAAAATAGTGATGAATAGAGATTTGTGGATTAAGAGTATTCGTCGCCTCTATTTGTATGAGATTAGGTAAAATCAACAATCATAGTAATAATAATATTAAAAAAATGTGATCTGTATAGTCCAAGGATAGTAGAAACCCTTTAAAATAGATTGATAAGGTATTGAGTTTAAGATAAGGGTAATAAAATATCATTAGTTTATGTAGGCAAAGTTTAAAGAAAAAGTTGGAAACATTTGTATTTAAATAATATATTATTAATTAAATTGTACTCGAATAATGTCCAACTCGGGATTGATATCATAATAAAGAATATGATTTGGGTTAAGATATTGCAACTAAAAGATTGACAAGGATTATAATTTAACTAATTAATCAATTCCAATATATATAATATTTGCATAAAATACTACCGCTGTCGCTTGAGTAATCGTATGGCATTCTTAAAAACTTTAAGTTAGTTAAAAATATGCAGTTCATTTACTCGAATTATAGTTCAGTTTTTGTAGTACTGCTGGGTTTTAGCTTTAGAAGATAAAAATGTATTTTCACTTAGACAGCTCATTAAAATATTTCAAATGTCCAGTCGTAAAGAGAACAATGAGTTTATACAGCTAAAGTTTTATAAAAAAAAAAAAAACAATCAACCGCTCGGTACTATTAAACGCAGTATTTATTTTATAAGTTTTAAAAAAATAAAGAAAACTTTTGTTAGCTTAACATAAATTAACGCTTCTTCAGATTTCCGCTAAAGATATCACACAAGAATATTTTTATTCGCAAAAAAATCATGTTAAACTCGTTTAACGTATTATTTCACATTTTCAATCCTCGATTTTCAGAGATGTCATTCGCCTCTACTATAGTCTTAAGTCGTATTATCTTAAACAGAGTTAACTCGCACCGATCGTCGTTAATCGTGTTTATCTTTATTAGCGCAATGCTTCTGATCTTCAGTTTGAACGAATCGTAAAAAAGAAAAAAAAAACATTTACTACCGTCCTTGGTAAATTAATTTTACGTCTCTCGTTTTGTTTATCCGGATTTCTTTATAGCTGTTTATATTATACTGGAAACTACTTTTTTGACGTTTAATAGTCGAACAATTTTCTATATTCTAAAAAAACCGTTATACAAGTTCAGTTGGACAATTATTGCACCAGCAGAAAACCATGAACTGAAATCGATATTAGGTTTTTTTGTCCGTCCACCTACGGGAAACGTGTCGCGTCGATAACAGCTGATGGCACCTTACCAAGTAAAATATCGGTGTGTTTATGCCAAAGGCGCTGATGCCGGTGGATATCAGTAAGATCCGGACCGTCTTACTCCGGAGTGTAGTGAAGTCGAGGAACGGCGGTCGGTCGTCGTGCCGGTTTTTGTCTTTGATTTTGCGTTTTTGATTTTTCAAATGGAGTATGGCCCGTCTCTGGGGATGGTACAGCGAGGCTGACCTGTAGCACGTGCCCAACAAGAAAGTGGTGAACACTGTGGCTGTGACCAACTGCAGTCCAAGTCTCCATCCGATCGCGCTAAGATAGAGAAACCGCGTTTGTTTGTTAGTAATTCCTTTGGTACAGACATTCGGTTTAAGGCGTGTCGTTCACCAACACCTACCTTATGGCTCCTTTGATAAAACTCGACATGACGGCAATGCCCAGCCCGCTGCCGGACACGATGAATATCTCGACGAATTCGCGTTTGCGTTTAAAGTACTGCGCCACCATCAGAGTAGAACAATCCCTGGTCATCCCTACGCCGATTCCTGCAATAATTATACACGTTTAATTGATTATAATTGTTGTGCCTTTTTTTTTTACACGATAGCAGTAATTATTTACCGATTATGAGAATAAACGTAAACTAAAAAATAGGTACAGAGAAAGGTCCCAAAAAGATTGTAAGAGGTATAATAAGGCTAGAATGGCCAACGTATAGATGAGGGTGGTGGAAAGGAAATAAACGATTGTCTTTTATCATAAACGCACGTTAAATAATTCCTCTGAACTCATCGTGGAATCTGTTTAAACTTAAGTGTGGTATGAAAGTTTTGTTTAATAACAAAATAAGCGCATGGCATCGTTTGAAAGTTTAATAGGCAACGTAAATTATGTTCGTCCCGGCAAATATTTAAGACTATCATCATAACAACTGCTTGAATACCAGTTGATAACCGCAGTGAACTATATTATTTTGTAATGCTCGTGCAATAATTATTGTTGTATCATATTAAGCTTATTTGGTAATTATACGGAAAGAGGCTAAAAGTTACCCAACGAAATTGGTATAAAACTTCTATAACATAAAGTTTCCTATAATAAAACGAATAAACCTACCGTCTGTATGAATACGCAATTTAAACTACCGAAATCATATAAACTTAGCCGAATCATTGAGCTGATTCAAATAATAAAAATTAATTAAAATATTTGTATCATAATAAAAAATATTATATTCAATTTAATATGACATAGTTGCCGATAGTTTTTCAATATTCAGCTATCGACAACAATTTTCAAAACTTTTATAATATATTGTTGTGTACTCAAAGGTCGTGAGGGTATGGGACAAAACACGAGATCACATAGTCGTTAAACGACTTAAGTTTTCATGCCAACAGCCGTAACGTAACGGTGTAAACGATTAATGTACACTTAACTTGTTTTCTTTAGAGTGGATTTTTCGGTCAGAGCTAACGTACGTGCAACACTTTTCAAGCGTTAAAAACATGGGAATTATTATACAACATATTATTTAATATTTGTTAAGGTTTAACCACTTTAAATATTACTCATTGAATACATTTATTAGCAGAAGGTCAATAATTATTTTACGCAGTGATGCCTACTTGGTTTTTTGTAAGCTAATAATTGTTATTGATCGAGTAATTGTTTGTGCGATTGAAGTACTCGTTTAGTTCTTCTAAAAAGCATCGTTTTGATTCTCCTAATAGCACCGATAATTGAATTAATTTTCATAAAAGCGAAATAAAAGGATATGTCTACTACGTTGTTATAGCGGAACAAACTTTGTTTTTTGGCCAAGTATGGTCTTTGTACTGTTCTACCACAAAAACACGCTATTTTTAAAAACACTATGGTTTTTCCACAGCGTTGTAACGATTGTTGGCTAAAGTTCAACCTTGGGTTTATAAAACACAAAGTTTTGAAAAGCCAATTAATGAGATTCTACCTTTTTTTTTTAGTACCATTTCATTTGTTATAAATAAAAACCAAACAATGGACCACGGTTGTCTGTATGAAATATTTGAAATCGAGCCTATTATAACTATAAGAAACATAATCTGATTCAATAAATAATTGAACGTTTTTTCTAATACGGAATATTGATTATCAAAATTTAGTCGTAAGTTAAGATAAAGGATAATAATTTGGAACTAACAGTATAAATATAATACAAAAGGGAACATAGAATGTATTGTAGCAATAGCAGATTCTATTAATTTTAGGAAAAAATAAACATAAAAAGTTTAGCAGCATAACCTAAACAGAATGGGATTTAAATAATAATACGATTGTTTCAACATGCTTAAAATCCGGAATCCCACGTGACCTAAATTAATTGTCATCTCCGCAAACTCCGTCGGACCCTTTAAATTTCATCCAAAAGATACTTCAACGAGGAGTTATACGTTTTGCGAATACTATAGCTACTCGTGTTCACTATTGAATTCTATTTACATTTGTTTTGTCATTAATTTTACGGATCACTACTCAAAAGTTGTATCCCAGTAATAAACTCTCTAGATTTAATACCAAATTATTTAAATGCGTTTGAATTATATTGTTTAATTATTAACGATTATAGCTACAATTACATTTTATAATAAAATAGCATACTTTTCCAATCCTTGTATAAAAAAAATCTTCGTTTTCATGTTGTATAATTTTGAGTGTATATGTTATGTTTACAAAATTTAGTTGCTTTCTATTACAATTTTAAAGATTTAAAATTTTTTTTCAAAACACAATCATAAGGACTGGTGTATAATATTGTTGAAGCCCGAAAGATCTGAAACTTTTTTAAAAAGTTTTATTTAAAAATGATAAAAGAATTTCAGTAATAAAAGTTTTAAAATAACAGATATCCAGGAGCTTTTATTTTTTAACACTAAAAATAAACTTTCTAAAAGATTTTTTTTTTTAAACAAAAGAATTCTAAAATTGTTGGCTTGGTATTGTTCATAATTATTTATAAATTATAAATATACATTTTTATTCAATAAAATCACAATAATTTATTTGAAAAAAATAATTTTAATAAAAAACTAAATATATTTTACTGTACTTATTTTGTATTATTTATAAATATAATTCAATGGTGAACGTTTTTTAAATAAACTCTTACTATTTTAATTTAAAATCAGATATAGTGGGTTCAAAAAATTATCAAATATAAATAATTACATTTGTATAGGCAATTAAATTAATTGTCTCTGCACTATAATTTAAAATAAAAAAAATGAATATTCAAAATCCTTGTTGATAGTTTAATAAAAAAACACATAACTTATAAAACTGGTTGAGTGAACTTACAATATCATCTTTATACATATTTATAAATACCTACTCAAAATATTAATAATAATTATATTAATTTAAATTGTGTGCTGTTTGATAATAAACATAATTCATTTTACTGGATTTAGTCAGTCGAATATTATTTCTTTAAATATATTTTAAGTATTCGAACATTTTCAGAAGAAATAAGTACTATTATACTCTAAAGATGAATTTGTATTGTTTTTCGTCGTTTACTAATTATCGTGAAAATGAGACTTTACAAATTTATTTTTTATAAGTGAAACATATAGGTTTGTTCTCATGATAGATTATGTATCATCAATACTTTTCAGTTGATTTAACAGTCCCTATGATGTAATAATAGAGAATTTTTGAGATATTAATTGATTTGTTTCCTATATGACGAACACTACTTACGTAAGGTATTATTGAACATAAAGATCACCTTACTATTTGTGTAGATATTTAATTTAATTTTAGCTATTTGGACAATTTTTAACGGTCGTTTGTTTTTATTGGTATTGTAAATGTTCGTTTAACCAAAGTATTACTATCCCACTTCTGTATGGCGTATGCAGTTTTTCGTTTTACTATATCAGCTAGTATCTTGAGTCCGATTTTATGCTATCTTTAGTAACATCTTAATAACAACGAGGAAACAAATATTTGGGACAGGTTCCGGCAAAATTTACATTTTATTCTTTCAGTAAAAAAATATATATTTTTAAATTGCACCAGTATAATAATATATTTATATAAATACTTAAATATATTTTTATATAATTAATGAAAAAGCAATTTGGTATCCAGTCCGGTGTAACTGGTTTCGTATTAAATTACACGGGTGGTTTTGAGTGTAAAGGCATAACCAACAAATATTATTTGAAATATGTAATTTTAAAACCAATCAATTTTTCCTCCATTGAAAAACTAGTTACAGATTCGATTGAAGTCTAGTATTAATTGTTAACCAGGTGTTTTACATTTGAAATATTTTGGAAGCCTAGGTATAGCAACCGTATACTGGGTAACGTATATCGTAAAAATGTATTAAAATATAATTTTTTTTCATAAACTGTTCAAAATATTTGTATAACATCTTAAATATTTTTTTTTAAATGTACGGGTAAACATTTTAAATACTATTCACTTTTCCGTTTTTTTATTTCAATATTATCAGTTAATAGTAAACAAAAGTCAAATTTTAATATTCCTTTAATGATTTTAAGCAAATATGTTATACAGTAATTATACAGTATTTTATAATAACTGTAAGTACCGTTAAATTTCATAGTAGATAAAAAGTAAAAAAAAAATTAGAAGGATTGGCTCGTAAAAATCCTTTTTGATGTAATAACTTGTCGTTCGACATTTTTATACTTCATTTCAATGTAATAAAAAAAAGTGCTGTTGATCACGTGCGTTTTACTTTTGAAATTTACATGAGAAACAAATATATATTTAAGACCATTAGGAGGCGTAATGGCAAATAAAAACAGGCCGAAACGATTTTCCAAATGAAACTCGAATAAAAGTACTCCTTTTGAATTTTACAATAAAGTGTTTTAGGTTAACATTTGTTTTTAATCAGACAATAATTAATCAATTAATTAGATTTTTAGGTAAAATAAAGGAAGCGAATTTAATTTTAATGTAATCCACACTAATTATCATAGTTAATCCTGGAACAGTTTTTGTCTCAGGCATCATGAACGTCCAGATTTCAACGATTCTTTAACGTTCACTGATTTATTAAACTTTCAAAAGTGTGTTAATGCTTTTACATTAATTAAAGGAACTTGACATTACTTTTTAGTATTTATTATTAACAAATTTACTTATTATTATTACATTCAAATTTGTGCTCAGTACTTATTTGTGTGTGTTTAATGTTTCTGCATTTTTATTTAACTATGCATTTATTATTATTATTGTTATGTTATTTATTGACACCCAAAGGGTAAAGTATATAGATGTATATTTTATTAATATATAGATAACAAGACATAACATAAATACATTGGCATTAAAACAAAAAATACAAATTTACAATAACAAACTTTGATTTTTAACTGTTGAAGTGATTCATAAAAGAAATCATAATCAACAATTTTATTTGCAGAGGAGAGATGTCGAAATAAAGGGCTCTGGGCTGTATAGTTATTTTTATTTACTTGGTACTGAAAAGGGGTGCTTGTTCTTGTAATGATATTAGGAACTTTAAATTTTACTAATATAAGTAATTCTGGACAGTCAATATTGCCATTAATTATTTTGTGAAGAAAAGCTACATCAATATAAAACCGCCTAGATTTCAAAGATTCTATATTTAACCTACATGAAACATTCTTAATATCTTGACCTATCATATTGAATCTGCATGCTATCGAACGGAGAAATCTTCGCTGTACCTTATCTAGTTGGTCCACCATACCTATTTGATTTGGTTTCCAGATTAAGGATCCAAACTCAAGTATAGAACGAATTAAGAAGCAATAGAGTACTTTTATACATGTGTAATCTTTAAAATCACTGCACACCCTATTTACCCTATAATAATGGGAAAACGTCATTTTAGACTCAATTCCATCCATCTTCTTAATTGCTATTCTTTTCTTGCCTGTTACTTCGCAAATTTTTTAGGATTTTGTGTATGATACTGACTTACGTTTCAACCGATATTGTTATTCGCTAAAGTTTCTTAGTTTATCTTCAGAAGTGTATAGTTACAGAAGTCAGACCTTACCTGAATACATTACAATACCTACATTTCTGAAGACGGATTTTAAGAAGTAAACGACAGCTGAAAAACTTAACACGTGGATACATTTGTAAGTATTTAAAATTGTTTTAAAATCTACAAAAGCTTTAATACATATTAAACCTTATTAATATCTTCTATTCTAGTCAAGACAAGACATCCTCACTTTCAACGGCCATTTACAATGATTTATGGTCATTTAAGCGTTATCACTCTTATTTGCTCTTCATGTCTCACTTTTAAGGGCATGTTCAATCAACTGTTTTTTTTAGCATAAAAAATACAAGCTTTGATAAGACTTTGGTTGTACAAACGTATCACGTAGATGTTTTCAAGACTTATATTATTGTATTCAAACAAATTCTGAGTGCACTAATTTTATTTGATCATAAGGTACGTGTGGTGATCAACATAATCATTACATTGCAGTCACGCATTGCCACGTTACATTACTTCAACTGGGAATTGTCCTGTGCCTGAAATGCGTTTGCAGTTCGTTAGGTTGCTTTAAACAATTGTATGCCTACGTTGTTTTTTATAAAATAATTTTGAACAATTTTTATTAAATCTTCGGCAGTCTAACAACTGTTTAAATAATATAGATAATAGATATAATTACCAGTTACTCTATCATAATATTATTGCGACAACGATAATACCGTGTAGACACTTACCGATAACGGTGCCGTAGCTGAAGAACAATTGATGGAATTGCGTTGCAAAACTGGTGAAGAGACATCCCAGCGCTGTGATTAGGCCGCCCATGACGGCAGTCAGTCTTGTGGATTTCCGCCGGCAAAACGCAATCGTTACCGGTGACAGTAACAGAGCCACTCCCGTGGACATCGCACCCAGCCATCCTGCACACACCATCGATACACATCTCATTAGTCATTAATATCATATTGTATTCAAATCACAGCCGTTAGGTTTATGTGTGTAATGTTATATGAATATTTAAGTATATGATTCGATAATAGTGATAGATGTGCCTGACCGACGAAAAAAAATAATTCATAAAAGCGACGAACAAGTATAATGATTAGTATTGGGAGACTTTTAAATATAGGAAAGAAAAAAATTAACCATCGGTTTCACAACCTCTTGTGGAAGATTCAGCATTCAATTCTTAGGCATTCATTTTGTGAGAAGTCCTGAAGGCTTGGTGATTCGGTCATTATTCAGTCAACTACTCAAACTCCAAATACTTGTGCAGAACTAGATTTCTGTCCGAAGCAAGCTCAAGACATGAAATGTACTCATAGAATTCTTCTCAATTGATACACGTTTGCTTTGAGTTTTAGAGCAAACATTTAATTTAAATGTGCAACAGTTATCCTAAATGTTTATTATGGTATATAAACATATCAAATTTAATCAGTTAGAAACCCGTGACGAACCTGATTGGACATGCAATTCCGATTATGAGGTTTAAATTTCTTAACTCGGGCAAATTAAGAAGATATTAAAATAAATTATTAGTCTTAAATGATAAATAAACCATTTTTCTTACAAGACTAAATTAAGCAGCGTCTGTCTCATCCTACTACTTATTTAAATTAGTTACCTTAGTTTCTCACCTCAATAATTTAGTCACAATTAAGTTGTTACATTTGTTTTGTAATTATTTGCCTATTGTCTTATTTTGCCTCATTGTTCTGTTGAAATTTATGCACATTCACGACTAATATTAAGTTATATGCGATAAATAAATTTACATTTTCAAGCACTTTTTAATCCGTCTAGACACGAGTTTCACTAAAATGAAAAGTCTATTTAACGGGGTTTCTAATGGGCATGTCATAAAAAGTTTATACAACGAGGGAATTAGTGTAAGATTGTTTTATTTGCTAACAGATAATTGTGTTGTTTTTTTGTTACATTTCCTATTAAATTCATGCTATGTCTAAAAAACAATAGAGCTGGGGTTTATGATTTAACAGCATTGTTGTCAAATTTTATGACTTTATAAACCTATAACTTAACCTAACTTTATCACATTACTCTTTTTATTTAACATCCAAAGTCTAACGCCAATACGAAATGTTTACTTGGTTTAATAAGCGCTTAAAGTTATAACTTATAAGAGTAATGCAAGTTATAATTTTTTATTTGTTTAAAAAAAGTTCTAAATAAATTAGTTTAAAAAGCAACCAAAAGAAGACTATAATAGAAAACTATCAAAAAAAGAAGTATGCATGTATATTTTGAAACAAGATAAAGGATTGTAGAGAGGATGGTGGCAGATACGTATAAATATTAAAGTAGATAAAGAGGATTAAGATCTGCCTTACTTATGAGGGATAAAACGAGAGGAAGTAAAACAAATAGATGTCCAGTCAAATACCAATGCGATATGAAATCCCATAAAAGAACATTTATTTTAATCAAGAAGCAATCGATAATCAGATTATACACATATGCTGATTGTATCTATGTAAATATGATTTCTTCGGTGTACGAGAAGTTCATTGTTTAGTAATGTATGGTGTTATTTAAACTAAAACAATATAATTTATGTATATCCTTTTGTATAATCCTAATACAATAGACCTACTCCAAATATTGTTTTAGATATCAGACTTATGCGAACGCAACTTGTGATTATTCGTTTTGTATTACATTTTTCTAGTCATAGAATAATATAAATAAATAGGTATTATAGATTATTATTTATACAATTATAAGAGCTTGTCGGGTCTAGACAAATTACAGTAATATATTTTCATCTATAATCGATACACTCCGTTTTACCTATTTTAATTTTTGTTTATTAGAAAATCGGTCTAGTATGGATTAGTATAAGTAATAGACAGATTAATACCACTATACTTATAATTTGTACTAGTTGTACTTGATCGAATTATTTGTATCTGAAAAGGATTTAAAGGCATTGTTCAAAAAAATATTATTTTTTTTAACAAAAGTTAAAATGCACTCGTTTTTTTATTTTCTATTTTATATCCTCGAAGAGTGCATTAAATAAGAATAATATTGTGATCTTCTTTAAGTGATTCTAGCGTAGACAAATAAAAACACAATTGCGCCCCGTGCCGATAAACTGTATTGCAAGTAGTAAAATAGATTTTTATTGTACTACTATTGTGCTTTTGTGGGTAAAAAAATTGAAAATAAAATCGGCTTTTTTCTGATAATATCTTACACCACTTCAGCCAGCAGATGGTCGACTGAACCCGAGAGTAGGAGATAAACGGGCATGGAACTATGGAATTCGAGAAGAGTACATGTTTACGACCACGACGTTTGGCTTCAACACTTTAATACCAGAAACTCTTTCGTGTTGACCCGAAATTTATGGATCGTGAGGTTTTGCCAAAATCTCTGGCGACATTGCCGCCTTATAACTTATCTACTACTGACCGTTCTTCGTCAGTGGCCATCTCAGAACATTATTTAATTTAGGCGGTTCATAACGACCGAAATGTACGACGTACGGCGCTTACAGAAACTTAACTGCGCGTTAAAAGTCGACCATTACTTATTCGAGTGTTATAAGACTATTTGGTATGATTATCAACGGTGTACTATATATATGAATAGTGACGATGGTATCAAACATTAAAAACCTTGTGTTTTTACAAATTTATTATGCTCTATTTTTGTTCACACGGACCTATAAAATACGCGTACTAAAATAATGCTGTTAAATTGATTTTTTATGGGCTGTTAAAAATACTTGGAAAACTTGTAAGTATAGCATTTTTTCACTTAAACAGATCACACTTATTGTTTGAACCAGGGCCGGCGTGAGGGTAAGGCGACTCAGGCGGTCGCCTAGGGCGCCGAAATTGCTTTTTAAAATTGTACACATTCTTTTTGTTGTATGAAAAAGGCACCAGTTGGCATTTTGGCCTGAGGCGTCATTTAGCCTTGCGCCGGCCCTGATTTGAACTTCTGTCGTTATGTGGAAAATTGAAATTAACAATTCATCAAACTCAAATTCAAATTTAAAGCACTCGGGTTCGCAGTTAAATAATACATTTATTATAAATATAGCTAATTGATTATAATTACTCTCATATTATGAGTTCATACTATTTAATGAAAATAGATTACACATAAGCTCAATTATAACAAATGATCATCAGCACACATTCAAATTTTGAAAATCGCTTTATCCGTTAGGGCGTTGTGCATAAGCCATTATAAACCGAATTTATTTCTGTCAGTATTTTTTAAACGATAATCGATAAGCGACCAAATTACCTGGAAACGATTACATCTCGTTTATGGAATTTCCTCAGTAACTTAACGTACGAGTTGTGGTTAAATTGAAATTGTCTGTTTACCAACAATATTTAAACTGCAATTAGGTAATGTATTTATCGTGGCTAATGATAAAAAAAAAACAGAGCAAAATTAATGTAAAATATATTAATTTGTACATAACGTTACTAAATGTTAAATGTAAAAAGTAGGATTGTTTTTCTTCCTTTTAATATCCTTATCCTCTCTTCCTACATTTATCTGTTTGTTCCATTTATTTTTCTACTCCACACAACTTCATGCTATTATTTTTAATAGCCAATCTCTTTTCTCCAGTTTGTCTCTAAATATTCCAACACTAATCTTTCTCACCCGTAATTAAACTACTTGTTATAATAGCATGTAATTACACTTTCCTTCTTTTACCGTGGTCCCTCATTTTTTCTACTATTAAGTCAATTTCCTGACAAAAAACTACCTTAATTCTTAGTCCTATCTAACTTATCAACTTTACGCATCTATCTCTTTAATTGACTGTCGGTTAACTTTCACGTTCATACATCATTATTGTTGATCTAAAATTTTGTCAAATTGTCTTGTTAATTATTTAGTTTGATCCAATATTATTTGCTATTAAATATCACATTTTCCATGGGATACAATTTGTTTTACAAAGTATAGTGTTTACACAATAGACAAAATTCCTTGAAAAAGAAACCCCAAACGAGGTTCGGAAACAAACAAAAAGTTTAGATACTTATACAATCTACATATAATATAATACGTGGACAAATTATGTTTTTAAGGACAAAACAATCTACAGAACGTCGATGTACTTTAACCGAACGCTGCAAAAGGCAATAAATAAAACGCATAGCTTCCTAAATTACTGGGAAAAATACACTTTCATAAACGCAGACAAGTGGGGAGAAAGATTAAGAGGGTTTCTTTCGCTGCACTCCGTTTTATCGTCGTTGTCATATAGTAGTTCTTCGAAAACAGAAATTTCCTTTTTGCACACTAAAACTGATGACTAATGTTGGTTTTCCGCAAAGTCCTACTGCCAGATTCGGTGCACGCGAATTTATGTCCTAATGGCAATAATAACCCGTTGACCGGTCATAGAACTATAATATAATACAGATACATTACAGACTATGGTTTTTAAAAGCAAAGACGGTAATTTTAGTGCGTATAGGACAAGAGGTCATCACGAATCTAGACCCAAAGACATAAAAGTAAAAACTTAAGCGATATTCGAAAACTTGATCGATTATGCTTTAGATCATGTCGAAAACTTGTATTTTTTCTAACTCGCATAAATAATATTGTGATTAATTTAACATAATATATACTACTACAAAATCTAAACAAGTTGGCGTTCTTTTATTTATCTCGGTACATGTGTCAGATATTCGGTCGATAACAAATTACTAATTAAAAAGAAAAAACGATTTGTCGACCGTTATGATACTTAGAATGTATTCGTTATAATTAAGAACATGTTTTTGCCTATAACTGAGCTTACGTACGAAGCTTATTACCACCGAACGTCTGCTGTAGGCTAGTCTTGTACGCCTGTAGCGTGGGTATATCATAATAATTTGATTTTATTATAGGTAGTAGGTACCTG